GTTAGTCGTTAACAGGGGTGGTCGTTAAGAAGGGGTTCTACTCTACACTACTATACACTACACTATACACTACACCACTATACACTACATACTGGGCTCTATGGAGGCCCGTCGTTAAGCAATTAGTCGTTCACAGGAGTGGTCATTAAGAAGGAGTTCTACTCGACACTACTATACACTACACTACTATACACTACATACTGGGCTCTATGGAGGCCCGTCGTTAAGCGGTTAGTCGTTAACAGGGGTGCACGTTGAGAGGGGTTCTACTAAAGTACTTACCTGTGTAATGACAGTAGAGTCAACCTATGGTGTGAATGGACTAGTGGCCACGGGAGGTAATAACAGGGGAGTCAGCCTGCAGTGCGATCATGCATTCTGGTCTAGCGCTCAGTCAGTATGTGTACGTTAATAGGGGCCATCCATTTAGTAGGTACGCAAAAATCTGCCAAAACTTGACCCCTCCCCCCTCCCTGTACGCACGCGGACTTTTTACACCCCCCACCCCACCAGCGTACATACGCTTGACGCACCCCCTCCCCCCGAATCCTATAGAATGGCTGATATTTAATCCACGCAGAAATTATCGAGGATTAATAATCTTAACGTGTTCGTCATTTGGCCACATGGCCTACCAGCATTGAACCAATTTCTCGACCACATTAACTCCAAACACCCATCCATCAAATTCACCATGGAAGTGGAGAAGGATGACAAGCTACCATTCTTGGATGTTCTGTTTGAGAGGAGGTCCAATGGCTCTTTGGGACATTTTGTCTACAGGAAGGCCACCCACACAGACTCGTATCTGAAGCCTGATTCCCACCACCATCCGGCACAGAAGAATTCCCTTATCAAAACACTACACCATAGGGCCCACTGCATCTCTGACAAACACCACCTGGCCAGTGAATTGAAACACGTACTCCTGGCTCTTTAGATGAATGGATACTCGGACCGTACTATCCGCAAAGCTGTTTCTCCTACCATGGAGAAACAACCTCTTGAGACTCCTATCAAAACCATCATGTTACCATACATAGCAGGCGTTACCAAAAAGATTTCCAAAATTCTAAACAAACACAAGATCCAGGTCCGATTCAGTACAGTACACAAAATACGTGATCTGATCCCATCCGTAAAGGATATCATCCCTGACTTACAGTACCCTGGTGTCTATAAACTGAGTTGCATTTGTGGTGATTGTTACATTGGGGAAACGAAACGACATGTATCTGACCGCATTCGCGAGCAAAAGTCAGATTTGAAACACGGTAGGACGAATTATTCTGCCGTGGCTGATCATTGCTATAACGCGGTGGGTTCTCATGATATTGTCTTCTCCGATACCAAGGTGCTCTGCAAGCCATCTGGATACCACCAAAGATTTGTACATGAAGCCATACAGATATACAAACATAGACATAACTTCAACCGAGAGGATGGATTCAAATTGAGCAATCATTGGAAAGATGTTATTAACCAAGTTAAACGTTAACTGCCTTAGGATTTATATTCATATCCATATCTCCGGTCTTTTACTCCTAGCCCTACACACTACCATCACCAGGATATTTGACGTACAATGTTTCAATCGTGCAAATTTGTCTCCCATCACACTCTCCCCCGCCCGGCGCCGCTCCCCCCCCCATCTGTGTTGCCTCCGAAACGTCGTGATTTCATTAACTTTATTTTTATCTACGTGACTTTACCGAAAGAACCAAGGAGTAATATTAACGTGTTTAAGCAAACAGATAGTCCACCGCCGGACTATTGAACTAATTTGAAGGCCAATGTAGACACATTATTATCGAGGCTTCACCCCCCCCCCCCCCCCGTATCCTATGCGTACGTACATTGTCAGTAGACCCCCCATACGCAAGTATACTTGTTTGGGTTAACCCCCCCATGCGTACGTACTAAATGGATGGCTCCAAAGGCTGCGGACGCCACTGGTGTTAGATATTCTACAAACATTTTTTTCTATACTTTAAACATACATAATTTAGAATGGGGGCGCCTCAGCCTTCTGTGAGAGTCCTGGTTGGGTATACTTTATCTGAACACCAAGAGCATAATTTGAATGAAATTGGGGTAGGGGGGAGGGGGAAATAAAAAATATATTTCCAAGTTCAAATGTAACTGAACATGCATAACAATTTGCAACCTGTCTAACACGTATTGAATAGATGGTCAAGATCAGTTTTAAAATAAAGTGGTCAGTAGGAATGAGCATTATGACACGGTATACGCTGAACTTTTCATAAACCCATATTTATTTTTATAGTTTCTTATGAAAATGCTAATATCCTCCAGCTAATGCTTTACAGAGGAGGATTCTTTGTTTGTGCCCCCTTCATAAATATGAAAAATGCTGTGGCTTGTTCCGTTGAAAGTAGTCCATATTATTACACCTGTCCGGAATAGACTGTATATTTTTCATTTCCTTAGGGTAGGTTTCGAATAAATCTGTTTTGACTCGGCAAGTAAGTAATATGCAATATAAAGGAATTGTGCCATGCATTACACAACACGCTTGTATTTATTTAGCCTCACTCTATTGTAACACATTGCCCTATTTGCAACAATGTGGATATTAGCATGGAACAACCTTGACTGGACATGTTATATAATATACACATGCGTAGTGTATGTGCATGCTGCTTACGTTGACCATTGCAATGGCAAAGATTATCATAATTATTAAACTGCAGATAAATATGTGCAAAATGCAATGTTAGCATATAATATTCGAGCTTTCCGAATAAAATGTTGGCATTAAAATCCATATTTTCAATGTATGGTCTGTATGTTTACATATACTGTAATATATATGGCATATAGAGCTGTACAGTGAGGGAAAAAAGTATTTGATCCCCTGCTGATTTTGTACGTTTGCCCACTGACAAAGAAATGATCAGTCTATAATTTTAATGGTAGGTTTATTTGAACAGTGAGAGACAGAATAACAACAAGAAAATCCAGAAAAACGCATGCCAAAATTTTTATAAATTGATTTGCATTTTAATGAGGGAAATAAGTATTTGACCCCCTCTCAATCAGAAAGATTTCTGGCTCCAAGGTGTCTTTAATACAGGCAACGAGCTGAGATTAGGAGCACACTATTAAAGGGAATGCTCCTAATCTCAGCTTGTTACCTGTATAAAAGACACCTGTCCACAGAAGCAATCAATCAATCAATCAGATTACAAACTCTCCACCATGGCCAAGACCAAAGAGCTCTCCAAGGATGTCAGGGACAAGATTGTAGACCTACACAAGGCTGGAATGGGCTACAAGACCATTGCCAAGCAACTTGGTGAGAAGGTGACAACAGTTGGTGTGATTATTCGCAAATGGAAGAAACACAAAAGAACTGTCAATATCCCTCGGCCTGGGGCTCCATGCAAGCTATCACCTCGTGGAGTTGCAATGATCATGAGAACGGTGAGGAATCAGCCCAGAACTACACGGGAGGATCTTGTCAATGATCTCAAGGCAGCTGGGACCATAGTCACCAAGAAAACAATTGGTAACACACTACGCCGTGAAGGACTGAAATCCTGCAGCGCCCGCAAGGTCCCCCTGCTCAAGAAAGCACATATACATGCCCGTCTGAAGTTTGCCAATGAACATCTGAATGATTCAGAGGACAACTGGGTGAAAGTGTTGTGGTCAGATGAGACCAAAATGGAGCTCTTTGGCATCAACTCAACTCGCCGTGTTTGGAGGAGGAGGAATGCTGCCTATGACCCCAAGAACACCATCCCCATCGTCAAACATGGAGGTGGAAACATTATGCTTTGGGGGTGTTTTTCTGCTAAGGGGACAGGACAACTTCACCGCATCAAAGGGACGATGGACGGGGCCATGTACCGTCAAATCTTGGGTGAGAACCTCCTTCCCTCAGCCAGGGCATTGAAAATGGGTCGTGGATGGGTATTCCAGCATGACAATGACCCAAAACACACGGCCAAGGCAACAAAGGAGTGGCTCAAGAAGAAGCACATTAAGGTCCTAGAGTGGCCTAGCCAGTCTCCAGACCTTAATCCCATAGAAAATCTGTGGAGGGAGCTGAAGGTTCGAGTTGCCAAACGTCAGCCTCGAAACCTTAATGACTTGGAGAAGATCTGCAAAGCGGAGTGGGACAAAATCCCTCCTGAGACGTGTGCAAACCTGGTGGCCAACTACAAGAAACGTCTGACCTCTGTGATTGCCAACAAGGGTTTTGCCACCAAGTACTAAGTCATGTTTTGAAGAGGGGTCAAATACTTATTTCCCTCATTAAAATGCAAATCAATTTATAACATTTTTGACATGCGTTTTTCTGGATTTTTTTGTTGTTATTCTGTCTCTCACTGTTTAAATAAACCTACCATTAAAATTATAGACTGATGATTTCTTTGTCAGTGGGCAAACGTACAAAATCAGCAGGGGATCAAATACATTTTTCCCTCACTGTATACATTACACATGATTTGGGTACAAATAATAGCACACTAAGTGTTCTTTTTTCCCCATTAAGAAATACAACACTCAATGTTTTTTTTCCTGGTATACCTTCCTCATAAAAACGTAGTAATTTTTTAGCCTTCTGCACTTTCATTAGAGTATTATCTTAATTATATATTTACCAGGGTAGAATATCACTGAAGCCATCTACTGTTTATTTTATGTTAGGATAATAGTTTTGTGGTCAGGTTATTCTATAATTGTACAACTGCCGTGCACGAAAATCAGCATCAACACACAATGTAATATATTGCAAAATGTAATAGAATTCCAGAAGCAAATTCTTTACAAATCCGTGGATTTGATCAACTATATTCAGCCGAATCATTTTTTTAACAAAGTGACTGCATAATTAGTAATGTTATTGCATTCATAATAATACGTGTCAGTAAAAGTATGTATTTTATACAACAATAAAACCGAAAATAATAATAACGTTTAACGAGTAAGCTTCATACACCCACACAATGATGCACATGGGTCAGACATTGTTCGTAAAGTATACCATTTATAATGCATCATGCATATGATATTTTGTCAGACTACAATTTTACGTAACTTATTTTTTTACAGAAACAAATTTGTTCTTATTGCGTACCGAGTATTTTGTCTCATTTCATTCGAGATTTTCGCCATTTGTTCATATTAGATAACACACATTACCTTTCGTTATTGTATATCAAAAACAAAAAGGAAAACGAGATTTTAAAAAAAAATCCTACAGCCATTTCTCAAAGGAAGCGCCAAAATAGAAAGGCACAGTTGTGCCACGCATCTGCTGCCAAGATGTCGATACAATGAGCACGTGGTTCTTATCCAGTATTGATGGAAGCCTGGGTCGAGGAGGCTTCCTGTGAAGGTCTTTATGGATCTGGGCACAATCCACTGCTGCTACCTTTGCTGCTGTCCTGTGGGCATCTGATGACATAAGAACGAAGAAGAATTACAGTTGTCACCATCGCAATCAGAGATAAACCGAAAAAAAAACACAGCTGACACATGCACATTTAAAGCAGAGATGCGAGATATGGCTATATAAATATTGCAATTGCAAACTCAAAATATATCTTTGGCAGTAGGTAATTAAATCTGAGTGCATAACGAAAGATCTAAGCACGTGCTTTGGTCTTGATTCATTTTCATCCACTCGTAGTCATTGCGGACTAAAGCAATAACAACAACAAAAACATCCTTGTTGACAAATTATTTTGTGAGCATTGAAATCTGTAAATGATGAGCAATTTTCAAAAACCATCAGCAAACCATGGACAAATTGTCCTGCTCCGTATCACTGCTGCCTGAATTCGTTTTTTTACGGGAAACCTAAAACAGGAGCACCACAAAACTCCGGCAGTTTTTTTTATTGTTGCACAACGCACAAAAGGGCTGGGCCACTTTTTTTATTTATTTGTTTGTTTGTTTGTTCCAAACCCCAGACCGCTCTCGGCGCGTTCCCTTTGAAACTCGTTGCAGCATTTGACACCTAGGCACGGCGCGCACCTTCGCCCGCGGCTTTGCGCTGGAACTTTCCGGGAGCGTCCTCGGCGAGTGGCTCACGACAGGGATGCGCGATGAAGCGGCTCGGCTCGCTGGCGCTCCTGGCGAGTGTGGGAAGGGGGCCGACTTGGCCTGCTGTCTGCTCGACCCTTGCGGTTTGCCGCCGCCGCCGCTGCTGCTGCTGCTGCTGCCGCTGCTGCGTGGCAGCTGCGGCTCGGGGTTTTGGCCGGGCAGCGATTCCCGTTGGGATCTCCTCCCCACCTCCTCCTCGGGCAAAGCGGACGAAGTTGGCTTGGCCTGCTCGGCAGAGAAGGAGAGCTCGATCCCTCTTAGCCGTCGAGATATGAACGTTGGATAACACGGCCTTGAGCATTTTATATATTTACGGTTGTATATTTGCGCCGTGGAAATAGATCGCGATTCTGCAAGGCGCAAAAGCGTCGTGCCCGTGATTGTAAGCGGCGTTTACGAGACACTATGACTATCAACCCCCACCGGGCGAAATGCAAACATCTTCGATGCAAGAAAGTTAAATTTAGTTCGACATTGAACACGACAAATTTCTGAATTTAGCTGCTTTGTTATTTAAGTATTTATCTTAAGGGTCTCTCTTTCAGATCTCCCATGAGAGGAGGCTTTCCTGCTAGCAATTGCATTCCTCCACCTATTTATTTATTTAATTAACTCATTATTGCATCTAATTGCAATGATTTAGGCTTTAATATATAAGGTCATGAACATTCATACACAATGTGATCATAATGCATTTTGTGCATGTTTTGGTAGATTTATAGAACATGTTAACTTACAGGCTGCCTTATTTATGCCTTATAGCCTCCCTTGCACACTAAGCACATACATGTATAATCATCTGCAGACAATTTGTCTGTATTGTGATCACTGAGAGATTTATTCGAAATGTACTTTTTGGCATTGCGATAACAGCTCCATTGGCATTGCGATAACAGCATTGCTGAGGTTGTGTGCAGAGCACACAGAGTGATCATAGCTATTAGACAATTAAGAGATGATACATGAGTCTGTCTTGTTACACACAGCCTTAGTCTGATCATAGTCCCACAAGCTCCCTGAACCCAAAATTACAACGCCGTTTTGTGTTTCTCATATTTAATCATTATCCCTTGACATTGCCACTGAACAAGTAGAAATTGTGTTCCAGAGAATGTTTTTGTTATTTCATAATATTTAAATATTCAGTAAAACAAAAATTACGCCTATATTTAATATTTGTAACGAAATCAAATTGTTAATTTGTAATACAGGGTGTCTGTCGTGGTATCATGCATTATTAAATAATTGTAATTAGACAGCAGTTTGAACTGCGTGGTGAAAGTCAAAATCAAAGTGCTTTCCTGCTCAAATGAGCATGAATGACACTCACTTTCTGCTTAAAGTACTGAGCCTGCGATGGAATTTCCGCATAAATATGGTTTGAGCGATTTTACACAGAGGTCAACGGCCGTTGACTTTCTCACAAAGTGGTAGCAAGTTTATCCACCCCAAAATGGAAACTTGCAACCTTCTGATTTGCGAGCCGCTCGACCTACCCATGAGCCACCTGATGGGATAAGCAGTTGAAATCGTGGCAACATGTTCCTCGCATATGCTTTTGTACATCTGTACATTTTGACAGTTTTTTTTTTTAACAGCGGCTTCTGAAATGATCGCACTCGAGATGTTTGCAAACACCAAGGTCATCTGTCAAATCTCAATTTGATGTGCATCGCTAACGCCATGGCAAACATCAGTCTTTCTTGGGATGAGGCTCTTGCAATAAAGTCTGCGCACGACCAAGCTTATGTTTGACTAATTTTATTGACATAGCTAAACCGTTTCTCTCATTCTATGTAATTATATGTAACTACCCATAAGCACCTCCGTTTAACGCGGTTGGCTACGTACGTCACATTTAACAAGATATTATTTAAATACGTGGCCAATGTACTGATTGATGTCTGACCTTCGACCTCCTCTTCACCAATGGCGTAAGACTTTTCATGCTTTGAGGAAGCTCAAAGCATGTTGAGCAAAACGCCATCGTGTGTTAATAGTTGATGATGAATGTCGTCATGAAAATATTTAAGCCACTGGTGAAGAGTAGGTTAATTGGTCAGAACGCTAATCAATCAATTGGCAGGTCGTGATACTCATATCTTTATAAACTTGATAATCTTGTAAGATGGTGGAGGGATAACGACAATTGGACATATGTGAAAAAGAGCTTCATTGCTAATAGAATTCCTCCGGTATAAATAAAAAAACTCAATAATTTTGGCATCAAACTACCGTGGTAATTTATTATTGAATCAGAATATGTATTTATACCGATGGAATTCGATGAGCTATGAAGCTCTTTTTCACATATGTCCAATTGTTGTTGTCCCTCCGCCCTCCTACAAAATTATCTAGTTTATAAAGGTATGAGTATCACTACGTGCCAATTGATTGATTATCGTTCTTAACTATATAATTAAATTATTGATTTTACCCTGTGTATTTCTCCAATCCATATTGAAGCTTGTGCTTAAATCAAATGTTTATGCATTGCAATTGTTGCATATTGATTTGAGTAACAAATTAATCGCAAATAAGTGGTTATACAATAAGTGGTCTATATATATTGCAGCTGTGCATATTTCCTAAAAATATTACCACGGTTAAAATAGATAGACATTACATGGCAGAATTGGTAAGCGGATATGACTGGTTATAACTATGGAATCCTTTCGCCAGTATAATAATATAGAATAAAAATGTATATTTGCATTTACCACAATTATTCGTGGTTGTGCATATACGATGCCTAGTAATTGGTGTCTATTTGGTGTTTGAACGTCTTAACGCCTTTTTTATAATCATTCAATATGACCAAGTAATGGTTGGATAATTACACAGTTGTCACTTTCCCCAATTAGATAAGTCGCTGCTATTCGTTGCCAATGCATTGCCTCATCAGACATTTGAAAAAAAGCATGAATTGAGATTTTGAATGAATGCAGTGTCAAAAAGAAAATTGAAATGTGTAAACCGCTTACCGGTTAGATGACTTTTGGAAACGGGAACAGGTCTGGCTGGGCATAACTGCAATTCAATGGTTTTTATGTTGTCTTAAAAGCCCCATTGCCTCCACGTAATTATATGCCACACAATATCGGTATAAATATTTTACAGACCCATAGTACCATATTGGACTTACAAACCCACGTTTAAAATGTATAGATTCTGAATATACATTCTGACAGTGACTCAAATTATGACATTTTATCCATCATTCACTGAATTCATGCCCGATGAGTTGTTTGCACACATATTTGACATGCTATTTGCTACATGTCTTTTTGTTAAATTTTTAAACATATAAATGCAAAGTTTTTACCTGAAGAAATCTGAACTCTTTTTCAGGAGAGCTCTGCCTCATGATCATTGCCCAATACACCACGAATAAAGGTTTGGAATGTGGCTCAAAACCGCCGCATAGAACCGGAGAAAACCCATTCCTAAGAGGGGGCACCACTCACACTTACATCTCCACCTTGGTGATCAGCCATCCAAATTTCTCATATTAGATGAGATCAAATGTATTTAGGGTGGTTTTGTAAGAGGATTTTTTTTCTATATATGTAACAAATACACTTTTCCGAATTTGTAAGCTTCCCAATGAAAATGAACCAGACAAACAAATGTGATAACTATTATTTTTATTTTACCAGATAAAGCCCACCCAGTTATATCGCTCTTTTTCAGAAGCGAACTGGCCACAAATGATAACCTGATGAAGTGGCTTATCATGTGGAAATGTATAGCAGCCAAATACTCCAAACGCATATTTCTAAATGTGGAGGGACAAACCGGAGGACCCGGATAAAAATCCATGCAAACACAGGGAGAACATGCAAACTCCAAATATACAGGCGTCAGGGTTGGGATCGAACCCACGACCTCCTGTATGCCAGGCGAGGTAGTTAACATCTCGCCAAGCGGAAGTCCGCCTGGAATCCCTGGATGCATTTCATGTAAACAGGCGCTTTTATAATTCTACTATTAGAGCAATTGTTAGTCCTGTAAAGATCACTCCGAGTAACCCACGCTTCACTTTTTATTATGATTAAATGTCACAATTATCCGTATTTCATGTTTCAACGTTATTATATTTACATTTCCAATTCTGATTGACTTGTCATAGCGATTGCAGCATTTACAAGTGTCAGTTGTAATGCCGAAATTACACACCTAAAATGATGAAAATGTTCATGTTAAAATCTGGTTGCCAATTAATTCAGTTCATCCAGTCAGGCAACTTAAAACGTGGCTGTGGAAGATTATCTGTCTGTACTGTACTGCAACACTCATGTGGTCAAACAGCCTGATAATTACTCATGCACGGCCACACCAAGGGATTATACGGGCCATCTATATATATCAAATGTAGTCAATGAAATAATAAAGGAAACAAACAAGTCCGGTTCTCTGCCACCAGTGAAATCATGGCAAACGGAAATATGAGATTAACTGTAGGATGTAAAAACAAGGTTTATTTTAAGGCAGACATGAGTAAAAAATACTTTCATCGCACACCGATGGCATTTTGCAATTGAAACGCTGTGCTGAACAGCTGGGAAAATAGGTAATCAATAAAACTGTGTAATTTCCAGCACGCAAACTAGGTGATAAACAACGTTTTGGATTTTAATTATTGCAAAACAGATGTTGGGTAACATAAAAAAAGCCGATAATGTAAGAACAAACATTCTGAAATAAATTGTCAGCAAGTACCTGTGTGCTGCTCGTTGGATGCTGTGTTTCTGTATCTTTAAGAGTGCCCTCCGCAAGCTCAAGTGAGACCGATTCTGTAACAAAGCAGTTCAAAGTTTTCCAGAATGGTGCCCTTACCAAAAGATCTCACTTATTTCAAACATTCATGCCACCCCACTCATGCACTGGTACCCATTAAAATCGGGGATTCCTAACTCAAAGCATTTGGAGCACTGTGACAGCTTACGAGCCCGTGACAGTTTTTTTCATGCCAATGTAAATCTTGCTGAGACTTCAAATGCCAAAGAGGCTATTTCACACAACTTGCATCTGTTCAGCGGAGGATGCCATATTGCTTCAAGTCCTCAATAAAACAAAAATAAAAAAAACACCGTGAAATAGAGGCATTGGAATAAATAGGGTATATAATGCCTCGTCCACAGCAGTCTGATTCTCTCACCTGAAGACGGTCGCTTGTTGAGCGATCGAAACGTTGTGATCTATTATTTTTTCTACCTACGTGATTTTACCGAAAGAACCAAAGAGTGTAGGGTATAACGGTTTAAAAACATCATTGTCCATATAGTTTCATCCACACAAATCTCATGGGCCCAGATAATCTGAATATAATATGGAAGCTGGATGTGAAAGCCGTGCCAAGGCTGATTACTGATTTTTTTTTTTACTTGGAAAGAGTTACATTTTGATTTAAAGCTTTCGTGACTGCAGTAACTCATATTCTTAGCTCTTTCGGTAAAGTCACGTTGAAGGGAAACAATAAAATAATATATAAAACAATAAAAAATTCTCACGTTTCGACCATAACACAAACGGTCGTCATCACCTGATGACATCACCTGATGACGACCGTTTGTGTTATGGTCGAAACGTCGTGAGAATTTTTATTGTTTTATATATATTTTATTATTTTATTGTTTCCCTTCAACGTGACTTTACCAAAAGAGCTAAGAATATGAATTTGGAAAGAGTTAATATTGTGTGTTTATCACCCACGCAACGCACTACAATATGAGCAGTTGGTGACAAACGCTTTCACTAGAAAAATCGAAATATGCACAGACTCACACATATTTTGTTTTTTAAATACTATACTATAAATACAATACCCCCCCCCCCACCCATCTTATATAGACTGGTCGCGTCCGAGGGCCCCGAGTTTGTCCGCCTCCGGCTATTCTATCACCTAAGGCGTTGTTACGGGCCTAAGTTGTCGTTTTCATAAAATCCAAATTTTATACAAAATATATATACTGTAGTAATAATACAACGATTTTGTTGATTCTGCATTTGCAGGGGTACAACAAGCACAATTAGCACGCAAAAAATCTACACTTTTGTCAATAAGACTGCCTCAAAAGAGAAATATAATAATAGGCGACATTGCGGGCCCTTCTTCACAGCACATACATTTTACGTGCTATGAAGACGGTCCAATACCAGTAGTATTGATTCGTTTCGTTCACAGGTGACGACATCACATTCATACCTCTATTTAAGAACAGAACAGGAATATTTCTCCACAAACCTGGCTGTCACCTGATGATGCGAGTTGTAATAACTGGTGAAACGTCGAACTCAAATTGTAAATATTTCTGATTTACTTTCCAACACACCGGTGTGCTGTACTAGTAACGAATTGGCACGTTTTGTTTACGTGACAAACCTCACTAATTGGCTGTGTCGGATGGTGGCGGGTTTAACGACACACATATATTTACGCGATCTAACCCCAAAACAACCTCTATTATTGATGTTGTTTGACATTTGGTTAAGAAGCTTTGTTTTCTGTTTCTGGCAATCAACCGTCTTGTAATTCTGCGTACGATGCAAACTTACTCTCTATGAACGAAGCAGGACCTGGAAAAGAGGTTTCTGCGTCTTCTTTTTGGTCATCCACTCCCTGTAGCCTGACCGCAAAATATATATTCCGAGGACAGAACAGGAGCATAATGTAAAATACATATCCAAGCTATGATTTTCAAATAAGCAACGTATGACTGTACTCTTTAAACTCGCAAACAGGTATGGTAATGTAACACGTCATTTTTTGCAGCCGTAATCCGTGAAGACCACATTTGAAATTTGATAGTGCTTTTGTACATGAGTATTGAGTGCACAGTAATATTTTAAATGAATATCGACTACCTGTATATAACAATGGCTGTCGTAAGGCCATTCAAATTGTTTTAAAAGCATTTTAGAATGGAAACATTTCACAGATAACGAAATTGATCAGTGTTGCTTTACTCATGCTATTAGGTTTAAATATATTAAAATAACAACACTGAAATGTCATTAATAAACGTTATCCACAATTTGTCTTAAAATTTATGAAGATGTTCCATCCATTGCATTTATTTTTCATCATGGCATTCTTATCGCCATTATGAATCTCAGCTCTATATAAGGTAGAGAGCAGTGATGGGTTTTTATGGGCTATATTTATTGCTATCATTGTCAGTGTAGAGTGTAAACTCTTTTTCACTATTAATGGACTAAGATGCCCAAAGCATGTTATATCTATGGTTGCCAGCTCTTTTGTAAACAAAATAAACTGCAATCGTTTGATACATCAGGAGTCCACTAAGATAAATGGACACATTACGTTAACAATAAACGAGAATTAACGTCCACATTTTGACTGCAAATTGAGATAAAACTGATGGTTGAAAACATGTTTGGTTTAAACCGGATGGTAGGAAAATAAAGACGCATGAATCTCTTCAAGATTAAATGTCTTCCTAGTTTTAAGACATTGCATGGCATTTATAGGTAATCATTCTAAACAATTCACTCTACTTTTTATTTTCCATGCCTGTCATTTACGAACATAGTTTACATTTTCCCTTCAAGTGTTCACTCAGCCACACGATACGCTTAATGTAGGCCTCTTCAGCTCTTGCCAAGCCCCATTGTGTAACGTGTATCCATTTTCATCTCTGCTAAACTCTACCATGAAGATAACTTTCAGGTTACCCATTCGGAAATAAATAATAAACCATGCGGTTAGATGAGGGATGCAGCCATGGTGTCATGGTTAGTACACTAAACTCGATTCGACCGCCCGGTGAGGCAGTTATCATAGTGCAGCAGGTTTCTTAAACCCCCCAGCCCCACTGCCTCCGTCCACCCAGCACTATAAATGGATACACCATGTAGATGGAAGGTTGCGTGTAGTGGGGTCAAGTGTGGGTACTCCGTCCTCTTGCAAGAAGTCTGGCCAGGTGTGTGAGAGGAGGCGAAATACCCTCTATAGGGAGCTGTCTAGAGCTCAGTCGAGTGGAGGCCCTTCTGCCAACAGTGGCGTGAGCGAGCAATTGTGGGTCTGCGCCTTTGCTTAATTGAAATTTACGTAAACAAATTTACATTTAGTTTTACTGTCGACTATGTATGCGTAACGTGTTTACGCTACTCCAACGCAGCTCGTCACATCAAAATGCGATAATAGCAGTCAAACATGTAGAATCCAAAACATTGTCTAACTTGTGCAAATATAATTCCCAGTGGTTTTGACACTGCGGTTTAGTGAAAAAAAATGAATTACCAATGTGACCTGGACACAATCACTAATTTATAAACGTTACTGAATTATTGATGGAGAATAACGTCAAAGGAGCAAGCAAACATATCCGTGAATCCATGTGGGAATTGACCCAGAAATGCCATTGGATTCATGTAATTCCGCATTACATTTCGCTCTCTGCAAATTCACGGTACTGTTGTGAGCTGTCACGGTTAAGCCTTCATCAAAGGGCTCTAATGCAATTTTGGTGTTTCGAGTAATCTTCTTAAAATTATTTTATTATTGCCCCAAACGACAATGTTGACTGAAAATAGATGCAAAACATGCATCCGAGCGTGGGTACTTTTAAAATAAAAAGCTTCTTCGGTGGCTTTTATTGTAGCATTGTGATATTTAGCATATAAAAAGGAGAGGATAATGCTTTTTTACCGTAATTTGTTTGACGATAAGAAAATACAACGTATTTTTTTTAAATGGTGATCTCGTATTAAATTACCATTTTAATTAAAACATGTGAAAACCAACACATTCAAGTAACGCATATCCTGCCAACCATGAAAACATGTAAACAAGTAGGGTTCAAAATTAAACGTAAAAAAATATATTTTATACTCTTTGGTTCTTTCGGTAAAGTCACGTAGGTATAAAATAAAATAAATTACGTGACTTTACCGAAAGAACCAAAGAGTATGGATCCCTGCAGTCACGAAAACTGCAAATCTAGATTAAAATATATTTTATTTCACGGTTATTTAACTAGGTAAAAAAAAAACTCCCTTGAAGTTAAAAGCCTATTTTGCTAGGGGGACCTGGCAAGAAGTCAGCAAAAAAAATCACAACACACACACAACAACAACCGCCATTCGCCACTAAGTGGCGGTGACGTCACCACAACGCTTGTGCCAGGCTATGTGCACCTTGAGGTCACGTGAAGTGTCGAACGCCTGCTGGCAGGAGGTCACGGGGCAGACCCAGGTGCCACGGGTTGACTGACTGAGACGACTGGTTGATGCACCACCTGTGCCCCCTACTGTGCCAACCTGCTGTGCTTTAGCCACCTGGCACTCTGCTCGTTGTTGTGAGCGTCGCTCCTCCACCCTCCGTTTTTGTTGGAGGGCGACTGCCTCCAACTGCCCAGTAGCGTCCTTCACGAGCCTCCTCCACAGAGGCCGATCTTGACACTTCTGGTACCAGTCATCGGCAAGTCCACTCAGCTCCACGTCCTCCTGTACCACATCACTCCATCTCTTCTCTAGCCCGTGCCGCGCCCATTTAGCCCCCTCGATCCGGCCGAACAAAAGCTGTTTAGGCATGCGGTGGCTGGGCATGCGGGCTACATGACCCAGCCAACGCAGCCTTGCCTGCCAGAGGAGCTCACCGATCGGACTTTGTCCACATCTTTCAAGAATTTGTAAGCTCCTCACACAATCTTCCCTGGTTAAACCCAGGATGGATCGTAGGCAGGCCAGCCTAAATGTTTATAACCGCGAAGATGTTCCATTATGGGGGTCCACGTTTCGCAAGCATAGAGAAGGGAGGGAATGACCTTTGCCGAGAAGACCTGAAGGTTCGTGCGGAGTGATAGACCAGGTAGCTCCACACAGCGTTACGCAACCGATGAAAAGATAATGCTGCTCGACTGATTCAGAGTGAGACCTCTGCTGCTAAATCAGAGCCGGTCATGAGCACACTGCCAAGGTATGGGAAACTCTCCACTCTCTCCCCAACTGCCCTATCACCAATTGGGAGTTGTGGGGGTGGAATGTCCGATGGTACAAAATACCCAGGCAGGTGCTTAGTTTTGGTGGGGCTGATGGTAAGGCCCCACCTCTTTGTGGCAAGCTCCAGGTTCAGCAGCAGCGCCTCCAACTCCTCCTCTGAGTGAGCAGCAATTACCAGATCATCGGCATACATAACGTGGTTGAGCAATAGGGAGCCATCCCTTGACCGCTCCCGGGCATCGATCAGCCTCCCATCATATCTGTGCCAAATGGAGATTCCCCCGGTACAGCTATTGAAGGCTTCACGAACTACGTGGTCAAAATAGATGTTAAATAATTTGGGGGCCAGAGGACATCCCTGTCGCACCCCAAGGTGTACAGGGAATGACTCTGACTCCCGGCCACGAAGTTTTACCCGGGCCCGCTCACCATCATACACGTGTAGAGGTGTTAACCACGCACTGTTCGGTAACCTGCATTGCCACCAGGTATCAAGGGGGCACTGCAGCGTTACCTCGGGGTACATAACGGTTGGGGTCAGACGAGGTGAAGTGGATCGTAGCCACAGTTTAGGGAGAACCAATCAGCCAATTCCACGTGGGAATATGTGATTGGTTATACCTGGCCACGAACGAGTATAAGAAGGGTGACCCAACAGAGCTAGGGGAGTTCTCTCCCTACACGAAGACGGAAGACTGGGCTGAAGACTAGCTAGGACCCTGGACCCGGCCTTCCAGCCCTTTTGAGGGCTAAGGCTCGGCATACCCAGTGGTCAGGACCCACCGGGCCAGCGGTGGGTCAGATAGCCTCCCCCAGGTCCAAGCCGGAGGACTCTAGGCTAGGATAGTGGTAGACGTGTAAGTCCCGCCAAGTCCGGAGGCTGTACCTCCTTAGGTATCAAGGAGGTTAGCGGTAGACGTGCAAGTCCCGCCAAGCTAGGAGGTTAGCGGTAGACGTGTGAGTCCCGCCAAATTAGGAGGCTGTACCTCCCTAGGGTATCGGGTGAGGGGACCGAATATCCCTCTGTGTGTGTTAAGGATTGTGTAAGGAACAGTTATAATAAACAGTGTGCCTCCTAAGAAGTTTACTCGTCTTTACAACACTACACACACAAACAATACCAAATAGTACAGGATAGCAGTTACTCTTAAATATTCAATCGAAAATAATGACCGGCTCATGATTACATTTTGACTTAAAACTTTCGTGACAGCAGGAATTCGTATTCTTTGGTTCTTTCGGTAAAATCACGTAGATGGAAAAATAATAATAAAAATAAAGTGCATAAAAACACTTATGTAGACTGTAGCCTGGTTCTTAATCTGAGTCTATAATGTGGACTGTAGCCTGGTTATTAAGTTTGGTGAGTGTACTGGCAGCCTATAAGGAAGACTGTAGCAATGGTTATTAATCTGAGTGAGTGTACTGGCAGTCTATAATGTAGACTGTAGCCTGGTTCTTAACCTCGGTGAACATACTGGCAGTTTATTATATTTTAATTATTTTACATTTTTAGTAACTTTTTTGTGTTACCGCTCATGATTATTAATAAAGGGGGGGGGGTCTACATGTGTGACGTCATCAGCTCATGATTATTGATTAGGGGGGAGCTCCATGTGTAGTGACGTCATCCGCTCATGATTATTAATGAGGGGGGGGCCTCATGTGGAGTGACGTCACGCGCGGGACACACGAAGCCTTTTTGGCTCGTTATATTCGTTGCTGCTTTGACTTCTTTAGTAGCTTTACTTTCCATAAAGAAAAGTCAAACTGAAAGCTAATTTGCGTCGACACATTTTCGTTTCCACTCCACCTTCTTGATGCGGAGTGACGTCACCCGTTCATGATTATTAATGAGGGGGGCTGGTCGACGTGAAGTGACGTCACGCGCGTTCCACACAGACATTTTTTAGGCTCATATTAATAATTAAGAACAATTACAATGGTCAAAGACATTTTCACCTATCAGAGCTTTGTAATCGGACAGTGGTACCCTCTTATTCAGTTTTAAAATCGTTCGGAATTCATTCAGTGTGATAATACAATGATTGTTTCCCTATTTTAGTCCTTGCCCGAGGAACCGTTCAAGAGAGCACTGCCTGAGAATTAAGCCTGTAGGGTTGTGATGTTTTCGTTAGCTGTGAGTAGGCCAAGTACTGCCTCTAACGAATGACACGACCTCCGTTAAAACTTGGTGGGCAATGCCATTGGACAGGGCAAATGTTTACGCTCTATAGTCTATAGCATCGCAACGTGTTTTGCAGTTGTACCACGTGCTGCAGAGACTCATCAGCTCCGGCCAGGGTGCCAAACTGCCGTCGAGCATCACGACTGAACAATACGCTGCACAAATCCGAAAAGACATCGGAGAACAACGCCGAGTGAATTTGCACACGCACGGATGCATACTATACCTGGCACAACGCGAGCAGATGTTGAGTCCGACCTTGGCTTGTGGTTCAGCTGAGCGAAGCATGCGTCCCCTGCTGATTCTGAAGACTGACCTCCGCGGAGAAAAAACCCCTTCCCTTCTCAGATCCTCCTCATCCTCTGTCAAAGAGATTAATTGCAGAGGAGAGATATAACAAAATCTGCTTGTAGACTGTAAATGCGTGCCGGTGGACACTTTCTTGTGTGTGTGTATATATATCGGCCGTCAGAATCAGAGTCTTTATTGAGACCGGAGGAATCCGATGAGCTTCGTAACACTTCTTCACAGACGTCCAGCAAGGCGCCGGGTGTCAGCAAGTTGCAACAACAAACAACGCAACGCACGATATGAGAGCAAGAGAGATAAAAGGTAAGCGAGCCAACCATATCACTAAACAAATATAAAGTATAGAAGTACACATTTCACTCGTACGTGAATTCCTGCCGATCCGTCAACAGCAAATGCAAGCTTGGGCAACGCAGCAAAACAACAACAATAATCCAAGGCCGCAACAAGACAATGCAGGATATCAATCGTAACAAATGTGTACGAGTCAAATTAGCGGCATCGTGTAGGTAGCAGAGGTAAAGGCGCAGCCCTGCAATTTCTTGCTATGCCACAGCTGGCAGGGCCTCCGCCAGAGGAAGCTCTAGAGAATCCCCCTCCAGATGGTATTTTTGGCCTACTCTTCCACGCTCGCCAGACATCTCGGAAGAAAGTGAGAATACCAGCAATTTATCCCACCACATGCCACCTGACAATCCACTTACTGTCATGCACCGATTTATATTCACGACTGGACAGGGGCCAGCGTGATTAGGACCTTTCGAATTGCTCGTCCAGTACAGCACCTGCTTATCTTATGAACGTCAATGGACCCTTTTAAATACATAATATACTGCAGACGATATCAGCATAGCTTATTTAAGCTCAGTTATGCTATAAGCAACACATGCTTTTAGTGCACTGGTGGGGAGAAAGCAAAGGTGAATTTCTGATATAAGCACATGTCGCAAATAAGCACACCTCCTGACATTACTCCCAGAGGCTGTACTTATGTGCTTCTTCCGCCGTCTATATGCACAATGGCTGCTTGGGAAATACATTACGTGTGCGATGGTGTGGATATATGAATGTGTTTACGTATAAGCAACCGTGAATTCAACGTTGTAATTATTTATACTGTCAAGGGCTTTTGTTTGAAAACTGAATCTTCAAATACAGCGTTTTACAATATGTTATTGTCAAAGCTATGAAATGCTCCACGGATGTGTTTGCGCTGTGTGCGCGTTGTAGCAGCTGTGCATCATCCACCCTCAAATTATCTGTTATTGTTGTTTGTGAGAGACACTTGTTGAAAAGCTTCAAATGGCTCAGGGCTTTGATATACCAGAGCAGGGGTACGAGGCAGCACACACGAGGGGGTGGGGTGTGACTTATACAACACCCGACCACCTTTGTCTCCCCAGTGCTGACGTTTGCATTACTGCACCGCGCGTTTATTGAGGCTGAGTGGACGTAGGGATGGGTTGGTGGATGCCCCTCAGATGGTGCCACCCCCCGCCCCCCCCCCCCCCCCCCCCCCCCAGAATTGGTTCTGAGATCACTCGCCACCGATGTTCGCTGTGGGCCAGGAATGCAACTCAGTTGACCGGGTTCGTGGCACAGTGAGTGAACCACTGCGCCACCACTCCAACAGGCGGTTTGGGCAAGTGATCAACACCGCACTCATTTGAGGCTGAGTCGACCTAGGGGTTGTGAACTCAGGTCGCTGGGTTCATCGCGCGGCACACTACCGCTACACTACCGCTCCGCATACACATGCACACGAGTGCACAATGGATACATTTTGCTCACTTTGTTACTAAGCATTAAAATCAATCTTAAAATAAGTCCATTGAAATCCTTAACATCGAAAATACGAGTGTGGTGTATTTCTGGCATCATTTGCCGTAAAACTGTTGTGCAATTATTTCGTGTGAAAATGTATTTTCCAGCGGTCACTTTTCTTAAAGGTCGTGCAACTTTTAACACTGAAGGGCTTGACAATGACGGGCAGAAACACATGGGGCAAAAGCTGACGGAATAATCTCGTTGTCTGGTGTGGGAATAAAACGAGGTTAGACGCTTGTATTTCACATTTTAAGACGTACCATAAAAAGAAACATAAACACACGGGCACATGTAACTCTCCAGATACAAAATCAACGCCACGTGGCTTCAGACAGACGATGGTTGCAAGAAGGCTATGTAGTTTGAAATTATGCCATTCATTGACAATGTATATCATGGCATTTTTGTAATCGTAAATTTTTAAAGGCGTTTGAAACGTTCTTCATCATCAGTAGCCACAATCTATCCACTTGTGGATGAAGGCCTCTCTTCGCCATCTGCCATTTGTCTCGTAATTAAACAATTCATCGAGCGTCTCCGCGTCGGCTCATCTCGCCGTTACGTCTCCACAGCGGTCATCCTGCTGGGAATGTATCCACCTACTGGCTGCAACTCCATTCTCAGTCCTGACCACTGGCCATCGTTCTGCCTCTCAATGCATTTCCAAGCGAAACATTCAGTGAATAGGCTCACTGTATCTTATTCCAAAAGCAGGTCCCACTTCTTTGACGATATCTAGAAATATTTAATATGGTCTGGGAGCTTTATATTTTTTTTTTAGGTGTGTAGGGAAGCATTGGCGATATGTATCAAGAGACAAAACGGGAAAACAGTTTGTGTACCTGGAACAGCTATGGAAGGAGGACTTAAAACAAAGTATATAAAAAAGGTGGATAAGAGCATGTTGGCGTGTTTTTTTGAAAAGCCGAACTTGATTATACAAAGTATCACAGCAATGTGCTTCAAGAACAATTTTAAATCAGGGCAAACTACCTGCTAGGACATATGGTTGAGCAACATGGTCATGAACGAAAAATATTTAACAAAACTGAAAATTTAACAAAAAAGCACAGAGCGATCAATGCTTGGAATCTATTGTTTAATTTACCAGGTAAGGCCCACTGAGCCCTATAGCTCTTTTTCAGAAGCGATCTGCACAAATGATAGCTCAACGAAAAGGCTTATCATCGCGTAGAAATGTATAGCAGCCAAATACTCTAAACCAGTGGTTCTTAACCTTGTTGGAGGTACCGAACCCCACCAGTTTCATATGTGCATTCACCGAACCCCTCTTTAGTGAAAAATAAAATGTGATTTTTTTCAAATTCAAGACATAGATATGTTTTTTACTGGTACACAAAATGAGCCGTGCATGAACATTACCTTGTTCAAAGAATAAAACCAACACAATGCATAAACTCACAACAAATTACATACCTGGAAATCAATGTGACTTCTGCTGTTGCCTTTGAGAGATCAGTTCAGATATGCGTGGCTTCACCTTGGCAAGTGCCACTCTCATGTCATTTCCACAGCAAAGTCTGTTCCTTTTCTTCGTTTTTATGTCCAGCATCCTCGAAAAGGATTGCTCACAAAGATATGTTGTAACAAATGGTATAAAAAAATCCAGGGCTTTCTTAGCAATAACTGGATACTTGTTCATTTGTCGACACCAAAACGTTGAGAGCGTTGTTGTTCTGAAGAGTTGCTGTTGAACCTGGCTCTGCTGAATTTCAATGATTTCGTCGAGGAATTCATCATTGACATCTGCTGTTTCAACAGCAAACGTGAACGGCTGTCTCACCCATGCTGGATATGACTCTCTTGTAGGGAAATATCCGTCGAGAGACTTTGCAAGCTCATCTAAGTGCGTGGCAATTGTTTGCTTCAGTTCCGTGGATACAGAAATATCTCCGATTCCAGACACCTCTTCGATCTTACTTGCACAGTCGTCCAGAAGCGGGAAGTTTGCGAAGTTATTGTTCTCTGTTCGTCGTTTCCATAACGGTAGCTTTTTTTGAAAAGCCTTCAGGTGTTCTTCCGCTTCCATGATATTGACTCCACCACCCTGCATCTGCTGATTGAGATGATTGAGAGCTGCGAATATATCAGCCATGTACGCTAAAATGAGAATGAACTCAGGATTTTTGAAGCAATCTGCATGGCAGTGTTGGTGCTCTTGCAAAAACAGGGCTAATTCCACACGCATGGCAAAAACACGATTCAGCACCTGTCCCCGGGATAACCACCGAATATTAGAATGGAGCAGAAGTACCTCAAATTCAGAGCCCATTTCTTTACACAGCTCACTGAAGATGCGGTGCCTCAGAGCACTTTTTCGCACATAGTTCACACATTCCACCACAGTTTTTAATACTTCTGCCATTTTTGGAGGTAAGGTTTTTGTTGCCAACGCATGCCTGTGCAGAATACAATGCGTCACAATGATGTGTGGTGCATCGGCCTTTACTAGCGCACCAAAACCAGACTTTCTTCCCAGCATGACTGGAGCTCCGTCCGTACAAACTGCAGAAACCATATCCCATGAAAGATTGTTGTCTCTGAAGAAGTCATCCACAAGCTTCTTCACATCGGCTGCCTTCGTTGTTGTTGTAAGAGGCTTACAAAATAAAAACTCTTCTTTTATCATGTCGTCTTTCACATAGCGTACAAAAACAGCAAGCTGGCTTAGATCAGAAACGTCTGTGGTTTCGTCGAGTTGAAGGCTGAATTTTGCCGGGCTTGAAATCAGATCCGCGACTACTTGAGCCAAGATGTCTTTACTCATGTCTTCTATTCTGTCACTGACGGTGTCATTTGAAAGGGGAATTTGGGATAATTTACCTTCGGCCGCTGTTCCGAGTATCAGATTCGCCATCTTTAATGCAGCTGGTTTCACAAGTGTTTCACCAATGGTGTGTGGCTTGCCCTGCTTTGCGATCAGGTAAGCAACTTCGTACGATGCTGTCAGGATCGGTTTGTTAACAGGTACAAATCCAAGAGCAGGCAGAGTGGCCCTTTCATCGAATCTGGCTCTCTTCACCCTGAATTCAGCAAGTGTTGTGTTCTTGTATTCCCCGTCTCCATGCAGCTTCAAGAAGTGTTCCTTTAGTTTTGCCGGTGCAAGACTAGAGTTGCTCAACTTGGCGTTGCAAATCATGCAGATAGGACGCTCACTCCCATCACGTTCCGTGATACATGAGAATCCATGTTGTACATATTCGTCCGACCACTTTCTTCTTTTGCCCGACATAGTTAGTATGGATAAAATATTAAAGAAATCACACGACGTACGACAACAACAGTCACACGTTGACTACTGAGTACGCACTAAATTCCCCGCAGCGCTGATTGGCCAAGCAGTGTAGCATGATCATCTGCAGCCAGTGATGGCCAAGCGGGCCGTGTGTGTCATCACAAATTTACACAATAATTCAAGTGTGTCCGGACCTCCGTGGCGGGGGCTCTGCCGAACCCCTGAGATCGGCTCACCGAACCCCTGGGGTTCGATCGAACCCAGGTTAAGAACCACTGCTCTAAACGCATGTTTCTAAATGTGAAGGGAAAAAACCGGAGGACCCAGAGGAAAGTCCACGTGACCACGGGGAGAACCTGCAAGCTCCAAATATACAAGCGTCAGGGTCGGGATCGAACCTACAACCTTCCTGTATACCAAGCGAGGTAGTTAACATCACTCGCCACCTTGGCAAACCCACATTTAGAGAGAGAAAGAGGAACACGTGGATTAGAGAACGTATACAGGTTAATCACATAATTCAAACTATTCACCAAATCCAGTGGTCTTTGGCAGGACACGTCGGTGGATGGAATAATAAACGGTGGTCAAAATAATAAGAGTAGCAGCTAAGGAACGAATTGTATCGGGCAAGACGTCAACCGAGGAGACCGAATGATGAAATCAGTTAATGTGCGGGATGCATTGGAGCATTGCGAGATCATGAGAGGTGGGTGGCACCTTATGGAAGCCTTCATCCAGCAGAGGATTGACCGTGGCCAATGATGACTCTGATGTAGAGAAGTGTTGCTTGAGGGATCAGATCGCAAATTAATCATGGTAACTGTCAACCTACATTGCGGTACTTTGGATGTCACACACGCACCACCGCTTTACTTGCAGGGGCTTGCTGATATAAGTTTCTGAAGTGCCCTGAAACATAAATCTCAATGCCAATATATTTGCCACTGAATAATTTGACAGGTGGTTTCCTCCGGCAAAACATGGATATATTTATATTATTTTTCCCAAACGTTTACTCTATGCCGAATTATTCACAACGATCCAGTAAGCACTGGCTTAATCAATGATTTATACAGCCCTCAGATCTCACCCCACCTAGCCAGAACACGTTTTCTGCATGACTTGGTTGAGTTATGTCCGGTGGTGGTGCTGGTCCCGTTGGGAGCTCTCAGAAAAAAAAAATGTGGGACCGACTTCAATAGTGAGATGATATAAAAAAATATATATATGTAGACAAGAGATAGTAAGATTTAAGAAACGTAGACAAAAGCAGAGATGTAGTAGTGTGATATGAAAGCGAGATGCCAAGAAAATAGATATGCGATCGATTGCTTTCTTCGTATTATTCATGATTTATTCGTGATTTTAATTTGACATATTTGGAATTGGAAGCGGCTGTCGTGTCGTGGCTACGATCTGGCTAAGTTTGATTCTTGGCCAACGTCTGATAGACTGCAAACGCTTACATACGATACGTAAATGGGTGCTGGGGGACAGCTTTACACCAGCCCGCACGAAGCAGCTTGGTGAATTATGTTCAACCCCCGAACGCTCGCAGTACGCACCGTAGCGGTGCATCGTGAGTACAGCTCGTCGAGATGAGTCGATTGCCGCATCGCCGGCCATCAACAGACTAAAATAAGTAATGTTTTTAAAAACTTTTTTTTTTAAACACGCTTTAATGAAATGTACCGTACTAGTAATGGCAGAACTCCACGACTCCAGGAAGTGGCCCCGAAGCTTGCCACAACGTAAGGGGACCGTGGGCAATTACAGCCAACGTCAGTTTGAGCGTGGGCAATTAGACACAAGCCGAAACATAACATATACAAAATAATGTTTAAGAATATTTATTTTGTATTTTTTACGATAGAATATAGTATTGTCATCAGTATGACATACGTTTACCAAGTTTGCGGTCGATACCACATTGGAAAGTGGGTTAAAATTGAGTTACAAGATTTGAGGATACAACAACGACAATAACAACAGACAGAGTGAGTTAAATGAAAGCGTATAATAGTAATCATGACTGGCATCACGGTTATTCCGCGAGAGCCGGGATAACTATGGCACCCCAGGGGTTAGGGGCCGTCCATAAATGACGTCACGCACCTATGGGAGGGGGGTCAGACATTTGTGACGATGTGTGACGAGGGGGGGTCGGGGTTTGAGAAATGTGACGTCACATCAATTAAATAGACTTTTTCATAAATGTTTCTCCTACAACATCAGTTCAGCGCCACATTAAAAACTCACTACAATGGCAATAGTTTAAAGCGATTTGAAGCATGTTTTTTTGGGGGGGGGCGGGGGGCAGAGCTTTGTGACGTCATATTTGAGCGGGGGTCTGACTTTTTGTGACGCCGTGTGACGACGGGGGGGTGGGGGGGGGGTGTCAAAAATCGTCCAAAATCCCGTGACGTCATTTATGGACGGCACCTTACCCGCCACGAGGTTCAAATGTTCGTACCGAGCAACTCCACCGCGTCGTCCAGGTGCTCGGTCACCTCGTCCTCCACCTCGTCGTCCTCGTCGTCGTGAGGGGCCCCGTCCCACGTGCGGTGGCCGCGGGGAACGGCCAACATCGCCGCCAGACGCAGTTTGTGTTGCTCGCGCTGAGCCCACGCGCCTGTGGCTGCGTTCACTCTCCGCTGCCTGTGTTCATTGGAAGCGCGTGGCGGAAAGAAACGAGTGAGAGGGAAAAAATAAACTAGATAGAGATATTCTTTGGTTTATATTCTTGATTCTTTCGGTAAAGTCACCACGTAGAAGGGAAACAATAAAATAATAATAAAGAAAATATAAAACAATAAAATTCTCACGACGTTTCGACTGCAACACAAGCAACCATCATCGCAATCATCATCAGGTGTGGTTTTCACACCTGATGATGATTGCTTGTGTTGCAGTCGAAACGTCGTGAGAATTTAATTGTTTTATATTTTTATTATTTTACTGTTTCCCTTCTACGTGACTTTACCGAAAGAACCAAGAATATGAATCCCTGCAGTCACGAAAGCTTTAAATCAAAATATTCTTTGGTTCTTTCGGTAAAGTCACGTAGGTATAATAATAATAGATCCCGACGTTTCGATCGCAACACAAGCAGTCGTCATCAGGTGGGACAGCCAAAGCAAGCAGTTTTTTTCTTGCTGTGGTTGTCCCACCTGATGACGATTGCTTGTGTTGCGATCGAAACGTCGGGATCTATCATTATTATTATTATACCTACGTGACTTTACCGAAAGAACCAAAGAGTATGGATTCCTGCAGTCACGAAAAGCTTCAAATCAAGATTAAATATAGATATCCATATTCTTTGCGTCTTTCGGTGAAGTCACGTAGATGGTTCAAAGAAAATATCCAAAAACTACGACGTTTCGATCACAACACAAGCGAGCGTCTTTCCTCCTGATGACGATCACTTGTGTTGTGATCAAAACCTGGTAGTTTTTTTTTGTTATTTTATTTGAACCATCTACGTGACTTTACTGAAAGACCCAAAGAATATGAATTTCTGCAGTCACGAAAGCTTTAAGTCAAGATTAAATAGAGACATTTACGTAAACCACCTGACAACGTTGCTTGTAAATTACTTGATTTTTGTTGTTGATGTTGTGGGATTATAGCCGACTGCGAATACCAAGGAATATTGTCGTTTTAAACTTAAGGCTTAAAAAGCAAATACTCTACCGGGCATCACAACTAATGATCCTTTCGCGTGCAACAGTAACACCTCCAAGTTGTTTTTACATCACGAACCTTAGCCGGATACGGAGGGTTAATAATGGGAGCGGTGCAGTGTGACTGTGCGCAATTCCGTTGCCATTCGATTTCATTCTTTTGTTTCGCGCTGTGGTGAATGTGCACGGCGTGCAACCGTATGAGACGTTAACAACATCGACTCTTTAACTCGCGAACACATGCGTGCCTTCAGCTTGATGAATACAGCAAAGGGAATAGTTGGCTCGCAATAGTAAGGTTGCGAGTTAAAATTTATACTTGGGGGTGGGTAAGGGGGGGGCTTGACTTGGCTCACCATCCCTCTGGGGTCAATTAAACAAGTACCGCATTGTGCGGGATTGTCCATATTAATAGACCCGTCCTCAACACAGGAATGTGGAATATCCTACAACGAGCCCAGACTGGTAACGAGGAGATGATGAACATCGCCTCGTTGCCTGTTTGAGATCGATATTAATGGTCACATCGTTACACTCCTCAACAAGAGGGCATTGTTGAAACTTCACGCGTTAACTGCTCGACATTTTCTGCAAACCTCGCAACAGTGTCCAAGGGACAACCGTACACATTTATAATGCGCTGATGAGGGGTGTATCTATACATGATGCAAGTTCAGTGCATTGGATTCAATTCTCGACGGTATGCATCATCTTTTGGGTCACGTGCCTTAGCTGCTGTTAATCATCGCCATACATGGGAATGAGCGCTTCTGTTGACCAATACCTTGCCGTTCATCAGCACAGGTCCACTGCACAGCGGGAGCCTGATGAATGATCCCAGAGTTCTATGTTAAGGGCAAACATTTTGCAGCCAATGTGGCAGTGTTAGAGCCTTTTTGGGGTAATGGAAACCTGACATTTTTAAGAGCCCATATTAGTAACAGAAAGCTTCTTTTTACGGCTGTAATTAATAACCAGTTTGAAATGGAAAATTCAATGTTTTTTTTTTAAACCAACTGCCTTCAGTGTTCACCTCTGACACAATTCGGTACATCATGTGTGTGATATAAAATTAAATGGGGGGGGAAAAGGTTTTAGCATCTAATAATGCTAAAGGTGGGGTGTTGAATAAAAACTATTTTAGATTAAAGAGGCTTTCATCCATCCTTTGGGGAAAAAAAGTGTAAATCCACCCACTGAATAAACACTTGATAGGATCTAATCTCAACATGCAAAACATGCTGGGATTCCTGTTATGTTCTGTTGTTGAGGATATTTTTTTGCTTTCATGCGATCAAGGTTGCAAATGCTTCGTGCCTACTAAAAAGGGTAAACACTCACACATCCAGCACCTGTTTTGGAGCGGCATTGCACAGCATTACATAAGCACTAGCTTGATAACATGAGTTCAACCCCTGGCCACGCCAAATTTTATTGATATCTGAACTGGTGCCCTACCTCCCTCACCACAACTCGCACCGACGAGCGTGGTGAAGTATGGCCGAGCAACCGTCATGCCTGACACGGTAGTGACACGGCAGTGAGATGACTTCATCCAGCAGTGGGTCGACAAAGGGTCGTACATCATTATTATTTCTTCTTCTTTCATGGGGTTTTACATGGTCAGACTAAAACCTCGTGGACAGCCTATGCCAGTGGTGTACATTAAAATTCCAGACGATAGTAGCATCTGGTTAAATGTTACATAGACAATGTTTGCAAGATTACACAAGAATGCGCTAAAAAAAATGTATGTTGGTTGGTCATGCAGTGGTAAAGCAAATTGCCCCTACAGCACACATTTCTGAGAAGCTGCCAACACGCTTACGTGACAGCAAGAACTTCACTGTTTTGTAAGCACGCTGCTAGTTGATAATAATGATAACAAAAATAAAAACAAGGGTTTCTTTAACATTGACATTTGCGGCACAAACTACGATACTGATTGGAATCAATCTGACGGGCCTAGGAAAACAGCAATACAAATAAAGATAAAATATTTACCGGACAAAATATTAAGTTCTACGATCCAGTTATTGATTTTGTCTCTTCTTCTTAAATCAATAATTTAGCAAATACAGTAAAATGTGCTTATCAAAGTAGCTTGCGTAATTATTAATACAGAAATTATAAAATGTATGAATTTGATATGAGGTCATGAAAAATGTCCACAACAATAAAGTGCATTTCTTTTTTTTTAAATAGCATACACTGATTTATGCATGATTCAGATGAATTTCTTTCCACGATTACTTACGCAAAAAATGATTTCTGTGCATAAACGTGCAGTGCGTTTATATATTCATTAAATTAATGTGCATCGTCGTCATTGTCAGCCATTGTCTATCAACTGCTGGATGAAAGACTTTTCACCGTCACCATCTCTCATGGCCCTACAATGCCACAATTCATCCCACTCCCACACGCACTTAACTCGTTGTCCTTTCTCCTTCCGCACACACATGCACATAAAACAGCATTGAAATGAATTGCTGCTGCTGTAACACTAGAAGATAACATACTGCGAATGTATACGCGAGGTACTTATTACTGATTGTGAAATGAATCACATTCAGATCTTTCTCTAACCACTACTGGATGAGGGCCTGTTGATTGGGGGTGATTTGACAATACTTCAACACTCTGGTCATTTTAGCTTGGCGAACACAGGATCTTAGATGGCGGAGCATAGAACAGTACAACAATGTCATTTGCTGCACTGTGCTCTGTTGATAATAAATCTCCACAGCAGCGTACAGCACCTGTTTCATACAGGGAGATGGCTCATCAAAGAACTACCCAGGCGCTATCCAGATTCACACCTGCTTAGCTTCCCAGATCTCATGAGATTGGGCAACGTCATGGGTGATTTGGTCAAAGGCTTCACACGGAATACGCAGGTAGTGAGACCCTGATCACTTATTAAAAGAGAATTGTAGAAATACTAATTATTTGAATTGTGCTCCTGGAGGCATTTGCTTTGGAGTTCTTGGACTGAAAGAAGAGGAAACCTGAACGCAAACTGGTACGGCAAGTAAGAGACCCAGAGTGCGTATGCAACGTAATCAATTTCAGTAACTGTGTTGTGTATGTAACTGGAAGAGTCACAGAGAACCTGGAGAAATTGGTCATGCGAGCATATAATTGAATGGAAATGAGCTTGAGGTTACTCTGAAACTAGATAGTGACTGGATGATGGAGTAGAGAAGCTTACCTGGGGACAAAATGGCAAGGTTGAAGGAGGAAAGCCAAGGGCATGAGACCAGGGAATACGATCTGCCACAGGAATCACTGAAGGTCGATAATGACTTCCAGACAACAAGCGGACGGATTGACTACCAGGAGTTGACAAATTCATTTAATTTGATGGATACCCATTTGTATGTATGTATGCTGAGCTTCTTACGAGCCGTATGTATCCAACCACGTAGATAGCCGATGTCAAAGCATGGTTTGTCGCTATCCGTGTCACTTGGAATGTTTGTGGGCAGGCCCGGACTGGCTCTAGGGCAGCAGTCCGGGCAATTGCAAATGTGATCAAAGTAAAAAAAATAAAAAAATATTGTATTACCTCTGATGTGCGCGCTTCTTTGCTTCTTTACGCTCTCAGTTGGCATTAAAGTCCCCACTTTCGGCAGCCCCAAAGATTCTTCCTCTCAGGCACATTTGTTTTGTGGGACCATCCCAAATGGTACCAATGAGATCGCACAGCAAATTTGGGCCCGGTGTGTTTACAAATGCCTGGTGCAATTTTTAGTCCCAGTCCGTCGCTGGTTGTTGGGGGCCAGTTCCTTCAACTAACACCGATCGCAACACCAATCCAATCCAATCAAGCGCTAGCCGGCACGCTTCGCCTGCTCCGTCGCCAGCTTCGGCGAAGCAGCTCCGCACTTGCGCGCTTTACGTCGTTCAGAGACTCGTGAGCGCAAGCGCCGGAGTCAGAGCTGTCAATCACGGTCAGCAGGGCTCCCAAAGGGGGGTTTTGTGTGGGGACCACGTGGTAATTGCTTCCCGCAAGCCAATTAATGCGCTATCTGAAGCTTATCTTGAGCAAAAGTGTTGAAATTGTTTGTTTGTTTTTTTGGAGGGGGGGGTAATTTTTTTCTTCTGAGTGTAGTAATTGAAACGGTGGCCTTTTTGTTAGTTTGTCAAATCCTTCAACCTGTCTTTCACGCCGCAGTACGGATGGGTAAACCAGAGTTAGTCAATCAGCACATCGGACACTGGGGTAAAGTGTGGGTGCCTCCCACTTCTAAGACGTCTGCACAGCGTGCAACAGTAGACAAAATTCCCTCTCTACAGGGGACTCTTTAGAGCTCCCTCGAGTGGAGTGCCTTCTGTCAGCATTGGCATGAGCAAGAATTTGCAGGGCTGAACCTTGAGCCTTATTTTTCCTATATATATTTCCATTATGCTGGAAAGCTAATCCTCATTTCTTTTCATGCAGATATCTTGGCGGGGGACAAAGACTTGGGTCTCAGCAGTTGCAAGGATTTCATTTGTCCTTTGTTATCATTTTTAGCCATTGAACATGTCAAACAGGCACCTCTTTTTTTCCTTTGTGTGTATCCCAGCATTGTTTTTATAATCCGTGTTTGCATTAAATCCCCTTTTCTCCATTTACTTTAGAAGAATGTATTCAAGAAGCTTTGTACATTGTGTGCGAATATCCTTACTTCAATATTTTAGAAAAATCAGCACTATTATTATCTTCACCAAGCCTGGTTCTGAACTTCCCTAAAACGGAATTGACTCATCATACGTGCATCGAATAGCAAGTATTAGAAGTAAGATTTTACTTGAATTATTCAATTTATATGGATTAATTATCACACAAACGACAAAGCTAAACTATGGAACAATTACATGTTAAACAGGCAATCGGTTGACTGTAGAACTCATATATAAACAGATGGGGATATACATCAAATGCAATTCCAAGGGTAATACCACGTGTTGTTGTTGTTGTTTGCAATGACATCCGACGTTTCGCTGAACGTGCTGCGAGCCTCATCGGGAAAATCACTTCAGACAGAGAGAAGCGCACAGAGAGGAGCTCCCAAAAACAACGCGTACATTCAATTGCGGTGAGAGGCTGTGAAACGTCGGGACTTCGCGCCGAAAGCAACTCACGGCCAACAACCCGGACCTCACCCTATGTTGGGGGCTTGCGCGTCGGGCTCCCCCCCGAGGCCTCCCTGCTTGCGTGTCGGCAGGAGCAACACTTCGGCAGCGAGCAGGTCCGCCCCCACCCCGTCCTGCACTCGCCCTCCCCTGCGGGGTGGGCGTCCCCGTGCCACCCTCGGACCCGGCTCGGCTGTCGTCCCCTCGGGGCTCCTCCTCCTCTCGCCATAATCAGACACCTGACGAGCAGCAATAGCCCCCCACAAAGATAGCTCATTCTGACCGCATGGGGACAGAATGAGGGTCGAGGCAGCCTCAGGAGGCTGCAGGCTCCACGATCAATATCGCCCACGCTGTAAGGCGCGCGGTTGCAGGAGTCAGCAGCACGCGGCACGCACATTACGACGGAGTATTTAAAGTATTTTTTTTTCTGAACACTTTGCTTGCTTCTTTAACAGCACATCGCCAATCTCTTATATTGGGTTTTTTTTTTAGAATAAGAGCCAGTTTGTGCGAGTTGCAATCTTTTACGATAATTGCAGGAAATTGATATGGAACGCGTACCTTTCCAACGGTGTCATCTGCAATAATTCCTGTAAAATATAAACACTTCATGATTATATTTTATGATATCTTCACGATGTCTGAGAAAAAAAACAAGTTTCATGTAAAACGTATCCATAATATGAATGCATATTGTGCCAATGTCACATGACAATATAGGTATGTCACATGAGGTTATGCAAATAATTTTGAAATGATGACGATGATGACCACAATGTGACTGGATGTCAAACATGAAACACTGCACGGGTTGGAAGACAGTGTCAGACAGAGGGAGATGGGAAAGAGCACTGCTTTGATATTATTTGGCTTCTATAGATTTCCACACAATAATGCACTTGATTGAGCTATCACTTGATTGAGCTATCACTTGATTGAGCTATCACTTGATTGAGCTATCACTTGATTGAGCTATCATTTGGCCAGGTTGCTTCTGAAAAAAGAGCTACATAGCTCAGTGGACCTTACCTGGTAAAATAAAGATACTCTAGTTTAGTTTCATAGGGTTTTTTCCCTTCTTTCTTGGCAAAAAAACAGTTTGTGTTAAGATGTTAAAACACCAAACTGAAACCTTTTACAAGGAATCATGTCTGTATTAACCACAATGCTTGTGGTCGTAATGTAAACAAAAAACGTATTCTGATAATATATGCATTGTCCTTGAAACTGATTGGTCCATACCAGAGACAGCTTTCTTTTGAGCATCGTCTCAAACGGCGTCCTCTGGTCTGACACCGTTTAAGACGAGGCTCAAAATAAAGCTGTCTCTGGTGTGGACCAATCCGTTTCAAGGACAATGCATTATATTATCAGAGTGTGTTTTTTGTTTGCATTCTGACCACAAGCATTGTGGTTAATGCAGACATGATTCCTTGAAAAAGGTTTCAGTTTGGTGTTTTAACATCTTAACACAAACTGTTTTTTTGCCAGAAAAAAGGGGAAAACCTATTATCATATTTTGGTACTGGCAAAGAAGGTCCCATGTTAAAGATAGTTTAGTTTAATAGATGCCGGTGTAAAGGCAATGGTCATGGTTTAATGGAAATGATGCTCTGGAGCCTGAAGAGGTAGACCATAGTGTGTACAATATTAATATTCCTTAAAGAAAATAAAAGCAAGCGGTCTATTAAACTGCCAAGGGGCTGTTTAAGTTCGTGGCATCTTCACTTATCGTGACCCCCGTGCGAATTCCGACCGCTAATATTTCACACTTTAAAGTAATAACCACGACACTGCATTCCCACACTCAAGTTTTGCTTTCCGATGCAAGGGAAATATTTACACAGAGCACCAGGTATCCTTGCACAATAACCCCATCCACCCCGAAAATAGATGTTCACATATGATTAACAACGTACTCGGAGAAAAGTGCTCTCGTTTTTGTTTTCGCGAGACACGTATAATTTGTGTGTGTGTGTTATTTGCAAAAGTGAAGCGAGTTGTTGTGTGCAGCATGATTTATTCATCAGATGCCACCGTTACCTATAAAGATTGAAATATTTAAATATTTCTTGGAGTTTATAGATAAAGCTTTTCCTGCACACACGCTTTCCTTCGGAGTATTTTCCATGACAGTTGCTTTACTTCAAAGGGCTTTCTATCATGATTAAATAATACTAGCACCCCCCCCCCCCCCACACACAAAATAAGACTCCACATTTTTTGCAGTCATACATCACTCTCAGTGGGAACAGCTTGTCCATAAGGAGGTCGTACGTTATATATATATGCATGTGGCTATTCAAGAAAGAAATGCGCCCAATGGTAACGGTAAAATGGGAACATTTAGAGCGCATTAATTACTATCACGTGTGAAAAAAAAGTACGTTTGAAATTGCCACAAAGGACAATATTACAAACCTTGAAAATATGTTTGAAATACTGTAGATTCCCGTTTAAATGTGTATACTTCATAGCATTTCAAGTCATCCTAATTTCTGAGTGCTACACTTTTGAGGCATTACCGACATGTGCTGTCAGCTATAAAGTGGAGAGCAATCTCAAAATTTTTAAAGCGGAATATTGGCATCGTGGGCACATTCCATGCATTACGTAATTGCCCCTTCATTGCATGCATAATCTAAATTGCCAAGTAAATAATGCACACCAATAGAGGTTCACCTGGTTATAAATAATGTGTACGTATTGATTATTTAATGGAGTATATGCGAGCCCTGCAAAAGTACAACCTATGGTCGTCCAAAGCACGTGTCCTCTCATGCCTCCGATCTGCTCTCATTTAATAATCCTGCTCTCCCCTGCCCCATGGAGTTTTGCATTTATTCATGATGAAGAAAGGTACTCTGACTGCCCGCCCCCCAGCCCCCCGCTCCCTGCGTCGGAGGGGGGCTGGAGGAGCCCCCACCCCTGCTGAAGGCTCAACACCCCCTTACAATTTCTAATTATGAACGTAAACAAAAAAATACGGGATAATATTTACCACCATTTGCTAGCTCTTTTTTCAAAGCTCGGCAGTTCAGCAAACCAGAATTCCCCATAGCCCAAAGCAGACCACATCGTTACTCATCTCTATTGTTTTCATATATGTAGCATCTATATGCAGCCGCATCTCCGAAAGCTTTATAATGAAAGGAAAATTGAGAAGAGTGTGTTGTGCACAAACGCAGTGCTCACAGCGTGGGAAATTATTCAGTGGATATCGTTATTCGACAGAGCCGTCCAGAGGGTTGGTGGAGTTGGAGTTCCCGGGGAAGAATAGCGCTTGTGTGGGATTTAGAACAAACGGCTCCTTTTGCCAACTCCTCGGTGTCCCTGGCCTGATAGAACAAGTACGTCGTCAGTCTAGACCTAAACCACAACAGTGTCAACTGCACGGCGTTCAAGTGATTACGAGCTCCAGTTCAGTGAAGCAGCATCCAAGAAGCAGCAACCCCCCTCCCCTCACCCCCCGTCGTTTGCGGCCGTCTGGAACGCTCTTCAGTCCCATATTAGGAAGCCACTGGAGCTACGCACTTTCAAATCATCGAGATTGAAAACTCATTTCTTTACAACTGCTTTTTTATGTTTAGTCTGTTGTCCTTCCCCCGCACCTCCGATTATCACGTTTGGCTACGTACGGTGCGAACGAAATTCAACATACATGCGTACATGTCCTGATGCGGTGTACCAGGGATAATTAGGATTCCATATTATCTACATAGTGTGATGCACAGTGTGAATCTGACACTGTAACATATCGTTGTTCATGCTGCTGACGCTGACCACAGGTGTGCTTTCGTATGTTTATTTGACAATGACTGTGCCGTGACCACCCCTCCCCCCCAAGTGTGTGTGTGTGTGTACGGACCCCCCTCCCCTTTTAACACGGTCAATGCTGGCGCTGACCTGAGGTGTGCTCTCGGAGGGTCTTGTCCAGCCACTGGCACTCTCTCAGAAGACGCCGCAGCTCAGTGAAGGCCATGTCCCCTTCATTTGCAGCGCTGCAATCCCAGGACGATGGCTCCAGAGACTGGGACACTACGGATAAGAAGCACGCACACACGCACGCGCGCACACACGCACACGCATCATTAAATGTGTGAACGGGAATTAAACCGAAAAGAGACGATTTATTGTCCGTTTTTTTTTTCGTATTGTGATACTGCAGTTGACAATTCGTGCACGAGCACGAATGCAGCTATACACATTTGTGCATAACTCTGGCATGAAGAGGAATAAAAGATACAATAACTGACATCCCGCGTAATGGCCTGCTTTATAGCTGAGATATAAAAGATAAGTATAACATGAGTACATTTGGTAATCGTGCCATTCTTATCGGGAAAAGGCTATCAACAGCCACTATATTTTACAGGCGCGCATAGTCGGCAAGGGTTTCGGCACGGGGGTGATGTTGTCACGTGTTTTTACCCATTTACGCAATTTGCCAGCGCTATGAAAATCTGGCATACAAGGATCGTGTACGTTATTAAGGTAAATTACAGAAACAACCATCAGATATGAAACGGAATGTGCTGACTTGGTCTGGCTTCTGAAGAGGCAGGACTTAGGCAGGACACGGCCAGTTCACTCTTGGACTTTCTGGGTTTTTTCGTGTGGTCCACACACAGCGTCACGTACGTTCTGAACGGATTTCCTTTCGGGCTGCTCTCTGGAAGAAAAAAAAAGTAATTTGAGTCAATATTTCAACGCCTTCAATCACGTTCACTTGAATTATCTCCGATTAAAAACAAATATTCCTTACTACGTACTGCAAATCAGTGTGCAAAATTCAGGCTAAGATAACTTTTAGTTTCTCGTTTTTCCTTTAAGACGTTTCATTAATTATCAGGCAATCATACACACCAGGCCACGTGTCTGAGCGGTAACGGGAAGGGTTTGCGATTGGGACTCGACTACGGCACATTATTCATCAGGTGTTTATACGAAAAAATTAGGAGCCACATTGCGCTGGGGCAATTGAGAGCGGTTGTCTTACGGAAAGGCTTTCCCCTGCCACAGGTAATGTGGAATTTCCACCACTGGCTCAGGGCTGTAAACGAGAGATGATCTCTGCCTCCGTGTTCGTTTGAGCAGAGAAAAAGTGGCTTTTTTCTTGAAATGTACACAAAAAGCCAACTAATCAGATTTGCAAATTAAAAGTTACGTTTTAGAATTATCTTGGCATCATAAATACAAATTACGGCTCAACGCGACATGTTATTAAATATTTTATTGGTTCACAAAAATTCACTCCGAAAGCAGGAAGACACAGGAAAGAACCTTTTGCAAGGCAAACGAGAGCTTACAACTGCCTCTGGAGTTCATGCCCCCCTGCTCGTTCATAGCAAGCACCATGGGGTGTTTGATGTATGCATAATAATAACGGTGCCGATGAAATATTAATGCGCACACGTGACTTATGCAACGTTTTCTCCATTTTTTTAAAGTAATTAAATGTTAGCTTGACCCCGGCAACATGCGAGGTTTTGTGAACCTTTAATTGTTTATCTTTGAAAAGCAGAAGGATACAGACATTTCATTATAGCACAATAAAGTGGGGATACACTATTATGTTTGGGCATTAGAGCTAGCACTACCATTGTGTAATGGTGAGCACACTGGACCTGCAATGCAGAGGTTGCTGCTTTGATCCCTTGGCGTGGTAGTTTGAAAAAATAAAGTGTTTTCGTCTTGCAACAGAACGCGAGCCCAGTACAATGCACCAATCGTAAACGGAGGGGGAGAGAAGCACCACCAAAAGCATCTTGAATTCGGTACGGCAGGACTTTACGAAGGGGGGAAATTAACTTAGTATTTTTTTAAACTAACTAACTAGTTTGCATTTCAGAAGAGTCCTGGCCACAAACGATAGCTCAACGACGTGGCTTATCACGTGCATAATTATAGCAGCCAAATACTGTTTATGAAACGAATATTTCTAAATGTGGATGGGGAAAAAAACGCGAGGACCCGGAGAAAAATCCACGTGACCACGGGGAGGGAGACATGCAAACTCCAAATATACAGGCGTCAGGGTCGGGATCAAACCCACGACCTCCTGTATACCAGGCGAGGGAGTTAACATCTCCTGGCCACCGTGATGATGATGATTAGAGAGAGACACGCAAACTCTAAATATACAGGCGTCAGGGTCGGAATCAAACCCACGACCTCCTGCATGCCAGGCGAGGGAGTTAACATCTCACATCACATCTTCCAAGGCATCTGGGCCACAGGGTGGAAGAGTAGGCCAAACTACCCTCTTACAGGGAGCTCTCAATGAATTCCCGATTTAAAGCTTTCGTGACTGCAATGATTCATCTTCTTTGGTTCTTTCGGTAAAGTCACGTAGAATGAGAATAAAATAATAAATTGTTAAAATAAATAACACAATAATATTCTCACGACGTTTCGGCCACAACACAAGCGGCCTTCATCAGGTGAAGGGGGCGAGACTGTCTGGTAGGACAGCGCTGGAGTGACAGTCTCGCCCCCTTCACCTGATGAAGGCCGCTTGTGTTGTGGCCGAAACGTCGTGAGAATATTATTGTGTTATTTTATTTTATCAATTTATTATTTTAGTCTCATTCTACGTGACTTTACCGAAAGAACCAAAGAAGATGAAAGCTCTCAATGAGTTCCTCCTAGTGGAGGCCCTTCCACCAGCCAATGGTGTGAGCAAGCCATTGCAGAGCTCACCTCTCTAAGTGGTAAATTACGTGAATCCAGCTGTATGGGTACACGTGAATACAGGCACTGTTGTGAAGTAGTGCACAGAGACGTGATATGATAAGCACTGATTGCCTGGCAGGCGGCTGTTTTCGGCCCAGAGAGCAGCAAATCCAGCCAGGTCTCGGCGTGGAGACTCCTCTGTGAACGTCCTCTTGTGTTGCCTGCCTTCCAGGTGCTCGATCAGGCACGGGATGGGCTCCTCCGGAGTCTCCGTGATCAACATCGTCATCATGTCCTGGAGTCAGTCAGATTCAGAGTTATTCTCGCCAGCTGTTCCATCAATACAGAACATGTCTGGTTCAATTCTGACCTAACCCCTCCACACCATCCATAAACAAAACCAAAGGTATTTTTGGTTTCAAAATAAAGCCACTTTTTAATGTAATATTGTTATAAGTGATTTGGCCAATATACTTTTAGTGATGGGTTCTTTTTCATTCAAAAACAAATAACATCGCCAGGAAGCTGTTGTAAAATGTCCAAAGAGGGTTCTATTACGTCTTAAGTTGGATTTCGCAGGCAGTGTGCATGCCATATACTGGCTAACAGCTCAAGTATACATGCTCTGGCCAATGTCCAAATAAAGCCACGATAATGGTTTTCACAAGTCTGCTTCGGACACACAGAAAAAGCCCGAACACAACAAGCATGCGTTCCCTAGAGAAGATGTGCAGTTTGACAATCGTAGAAATTATTCATAGACGCTCCACTTTCTGTTACGGGCCATCACCTTGGGATGAAAAAGTCACAGGGCACGTTGTGGAACGGTCCATTGTGTGTAATAAGCGAGTGTATATTTCTATTTGAATGGCTTTGAGGCAATCAATACAATATACTCCACCGATTTTCTCACACGTGAGAACATTTTATGTGAAAACCATTTTGTAAAAAAAAATTGTTCAGAACCACAAAAAGGCCACACATTGTTAATACGTGCTTTACATACAAGGAAGTAATGGAAATATGGCATTTTCCTATTAGTATAAATATATAGTTGATAAACATGTGTATTTATATAATAAATGGTACATGTTATTATATTGGCAAGACATAAACACACTTCCTACACACACACAAATGTGCAGTATCAGCATAATGCATAATATTTATATGAAGAAGAAATGCACAAATCTAAGTTTACTTTACAACTATATTATCAATGGTGGCCATAAAAGTTTTCTGTGAAAATATTTAACGCTTAAAGGCAAACCCCAATATGCAGATAACTTCAAAGCTCCAAAGGATGCATAGTATCCACGCTGATGAATGATTAGTGTTGCGCTATGCAGACTTTTAAAATACCATCATAATTAAGTTTACCTTTGCCTAGGACACACACCACACACAATGCATATAGACTTCTATAGACAACGACTCAGAGTCTAGAGCAGTGGTTCTTAACCTGGGTTCGATCGAACCCCAGGGGTTCGGTGAGTCGATCTCAGGGGTTCGGCAGAGCCCCCGCCACGGAGGTCCGGACACACTTGAATTATTGTGTAAATTTGTGATGACACACACGGCCCGCTTGGCCATCACTGGCTGCAGATGATCATGCTACACTGCTTGGCCAATCAGCGCTGCGGGGAATTTAGTGCGTACTCAGTAGTCAACGTGTGACTGTTGTTGTCGTACGTCGTGTGATTTCTTTAATATTTTATCCATACTAACTATGTCGGGCAAAAGAAGAAAGTGGTCGGACGAATATGTACAACATGGATTCTCATGTATCACGGAACGTGATGGGAGTGAGCGTCCTATCTGCATGATTTGCAACGCCAAGTTGAGCAACTCTAGTCTTGCACCGGCAAAAATAAAGGAACACTTCTTGAAGCTGCATGGAGACGGGGAATACAAGAACACAACACTTGCTGAATTCAGGGTGAAGAGAGCCAGATTCGATGAAAGGGCCACTCTGCCTGCTCTTGGATTTGTACCTGTTAACAAACCGATCCTGACAGCATCGTACGAAGTTGCTTACCTGATCGCAAAGCAGGGCAAGCCACACACCATTGGTGAAACACTTGTGAAACCAGCTGCATTAAAGATGGCGAATCTGATACTCGGAACAGCGGCCGAAGGTAAATTATCCCAAATTCCCCTTTCAAATGACACCGTCAGTGACAGAATAGAAGACATGAGTAAAGACATCTTGGCTCAAGTAGTCGCGGATCTGATTTCAAGCCCGGCAAAATTCAGCCTTCAACTCGACGAAACCACAGACGTTTCTGATCTAAGCCAGCTTGCTGTTTTTGTACGCTATGTGAAAGACGACATGATAAAAGAAGAGTTTTTATTTTGTAAGCCTCTTACAACAACAACGAAGGCAGCCGATGTGAAGAAGCTTGTGGATGACTTCTTCAGAGACAACAATCTTTCATGGGATATGGTTTCTGCAGTTTGTACGGACGGAGCTCCAGTCATGCTGGGAAGAAAGTCTGGTTTTGGTGCGCTAGTAAAGGCCGATGCACCACACATCATTGTGACGCATTGTATTCTGCACAGGCATGCATTGGCAACAAAAACCTTACCTCCAAAAATGGCAGAAGTATTAAAAACTGTGGTGGAATGTGTGAACTATGTGCGAAAAAGTGCTCTGAGGCACCGCATCTTCAGTGAGCTGTGTAAAGAAATGGGCTCTGAATTTGAGGTACTTCTGCTCCATTCTAATATTCGGTGGTTATCCCGGGGACAGGTGCTGAATCGTGTTTTTGCCATGCGTGTGGAATTAGCCCTGTTTTTGCAAGAGCACCAACACTGCCATGCAGATTGCTTCAAAAATCCTGAGTTCATTCTCATTTTAGCGTACATGGCTGATATATTCGCAGCTCTCAATCATCTCAATCAGCAGATGCAGGGTGGTGGAGTCAATATCATGGAAGCGGAAGAACACCTGAAGGCTTTTCAAAAAAAGCTACCGTTATGGAAACGACGAACAGAGAACAATAACTTCGCAAACTTCCCGCTTCTGGACGACTGTGCAAGTAAGATCGAAGATGTGTCTGGAATCGGAGATATTTCTGTATCCACGGAACTGAAGCAAACAATTGCCACGCACTTAGATGAGCTTGCAAAGTCTCTCGACGGATATTTCCCTACAAGAGAGTCATATCCAGCATGGGTGAGACAGCCGTTCACGTTTGCTGTTGAAGCAGCAGATGTCAATGATGAATTCCTCGACGAAATCATTGAAATTCAGCAGAGCCAGGTTCAACAGCAACTCTTCAGAACAACAACGCTCTCAACGTTTTGGTGTCGACAAATGAACAAGTATCCAGTTATTGCTAAGAAAGCCCTGGATTTTTTTATACCATTTGTTACAACATATCTTTGTGAGCAATCCTTTTCGAGGATGCTGGACATAAAAACGAAGAAAAGGAACAGACTTTGCTGTGAAAATGACATGAGAGTGGCACTTGCCAAGGTGAAGCCACGCATATCTGAACTGATCTCTCAAAGGCAACAGCAGAAGTCACATTGATTTCCAGGTATGTAATTTGTTGTGAGTTTATGCATTGTGTTGGTTTTATTCTTTGAACAAGGTAATGTTCATGCACGGCTCATTTTGTGTACCAGTAAAAAACATATCTATGTATTGAATTTGAAAAAAATCACATTTTATTTTTCACTAAAGAGGGGTTCGGTGAATGCGCATATGAAACTGGTGGGGTTCGGAACCTCCAACAAGGTTAAGAACCACTGGTCTAGAGGAAGAATGGAAACATCTGAACTGAGTGTCAACATTTGTCGTGCTGCATTTGGGCAAAGGTGTGTAGCACAGTTCAATGCTGCCATCTCAGTTTCAACAAAGGGCATCTTTTAAATGATGCTGAAACGTGTTAAGTCTGTCTCACGTACTGCTTATCATTGTGAAATCTCCGGTATCCTTGTGGGACATTAGCATGCACACACCGTTGGTCGAAAATCCGCATTAATTTTACATTCCAGTGGACAAGCACTGGTCTTCGACATGCAGCGATACACCAATGTTTCGCTCAACATTTAAAAATTCCGCAAATCCCGGAGTCGACCTGAGCAGAAATTAGAAACACAACCCATGCTGTTGCAATTTAGACTTCGCTCAGTATGAAACTTGTTTGGTATTTGGTGGAGCAGTATTTTAAAATTTAGACATTTATCTTGATAAATTCACCGTTAGGTGAGGGCAATTGCATTTAGGAAAATGCGATGTTGATGAAAAGCGCTTGTGAAAGCAAAGCTTGTATTGTATAGTTATGTTTTACAATAAACTATACAAAGTGATACACAATTATATGATATGAAATATTTTGGAGAAGTGAAGCATTATTTGCCGTTTGTAGACATCATGAGTTGACATCGGATTGTAATGCAACGCAACTCGATGAAGGATGTGGCATTTTAAAATATTTTTTAATGGTTGGGGATCGGTAGAAGGGTAGTTTCTAGGGGGGTGGGGGCACGTGGGGGGGGGGGGCGTGGGGGGGGGGCATCTGAACCCCCTTACGTCACCAAGTTGTATCGACCAGCTGGGTGAAGTTTGCTTGAAGGACCGCCATGCCCAATATGGCATGGCGAGGGCCTTCATCCAGCAGTGAATTGACAAAGTGCTGTAAATGATTAGTAAGTACAACAACAACAAACTTGAACGAATTATAAGTATATGTGGATTTAGTTACTTACATTTTAACTTTACTTGGTTTAATGTGTGGTATGATTACCATCACCTAACTGCACTTTGACTAAAAAGTACACGTTTTTCTTAAAAATTACAAAAGTTCCATTATTTGAATCTTTTTTTCCCAAGGTCAATGTTTGACCTTTCTTTCATAAAATGGTGCCAGATACATTTGAATAATGATGGGTTTTTTTTCGGAGGGGGTTTCATACATAACATGGCGTAATTACGTATTGGTAAAGTTGTAATTTGGTGAAACGGATGGTTAATCAATGACACAGATCGACATATTTTAACCTCGAATGAGAACCTTGTCACGTTGAGAATCTGTTTGGACGACCGTGTAATTGATATCGTTCCTCCTTGCACGGCCACCTTGAAACGCAACGGGCAATAGCCACGCAGAAACATTTTACAACAAAATACACACACACACACTCATCACACCTCCACGTGAGTGACACACCACTTCTGCCAATGTCCGTCATGCCGTAGCATCACCTTCCGCCACTTCGCACCCAGCTGTTGACCGCAGGATGCCCATGTTACAAAGTGTGCGAGAGCGCGATGTGCAAGCGACGGCGGAACCAAAGTGACAATGGAAAAACTCAAGTCCGCGCCGCTCATTTATTGTGAATGGGAAGATGTTATGGCCATTTGAGACGTGACAACGCCACCCATCAATCATCTCAATTTCGCAGTATTCGTAACGTTCATCTCCACTCTTTAAAACACAAAACCGCACGCTTAAATTAATGCGCAATGTACACTAAACCGAATGCGATGGCTTTTGGCACAACCGTGTTGCCTTAATGCCATGCATAAGGCAAGCGCCTTTCAAACAATGGTACATTATTTATGGTGGCTTTTGGCGGAAATCGTACGAATTTCTTCATCTTTTTAAGGAGTCGTGGCGTTTAAAACGTAGCCAGTTTTTCTTTAATTCAAAGTAAGGTCTCACAACGCATTCAAATTAAAACAAAACCCGAAGCAAAAGTTGCATTTGATAAGCCGCAAATTTACAAAAAAAATCACAAAGGGGAAAAAAACTGCATTGAATAGTTAAACACTCTGCAATCATGCCTGCAAGCAACACAGTGTATATCTCTGTGTGTCTTGTACCGACCGGCAATAATACAGATAATATATGCCACCAAAAAAAGCGTTCATTATTTGACAATAATAATTCCTGTATAATAATGAAACAGACACGCACGCACAGTCACAGTAGGATGCGACGCTCCGCCGGTAAACCAGACAGATTATGCGACCATACCTCAAACAGCGATCCGATCCTGTGCCTTTGCAAGTACGCTCGCAACCTTTCCTGTGACATCTCTTCCGACAACTCTCGCGATCACCTGCATTTGATGGGGGGGGGGGGGGGAGGGCTGGGTGCGGAATCACTGGGGCTCAAACACACAGAAGCATCGGCTACTGCTGCTGCCGTTGCTGCTGCACGTTCATCCTGAGAGATGCAAACAGCACCGCGCTCGCAGCCCCACATACACACACGCGCGCACAGACGCCCCGCTCGGGCGGAGCTGGTAATGAAGATTGCAGCTGCCGGACTGTTGAAGGGGTGGGGAGGGGTTGGGGTACCTTTAGGTGATGTGCTCATTAAGCATGCTGCGCTTAGAAGAACATCATTTATCCAGATGCCAATACAATTTCCTATGAGCAATGTGTTCCACTGCTCAAGAATATGTTTATGCGTTATTTATTCATTTATTATTCATTAGACGAGTGCATATGACTATGACATCCGTTCGGCAAATACAATTTTGACATTGATGCTGCACGTGTACATATTTTGTCGTTGCCATCGCCATTATTGTTATCAATGATATCAGCGATGGTCAAACCACTGCTGGATGAAGACTTTCCCGAGATACCACTGCCTTGCATGATCCTGCGATGCAATAATCCACATCGCGCCTGAACACAGAACTATTTCACTTCTATATCTTACACAGCGGGCATCCCCACGTTCCATACCTTGACTGTCACAATATTATTATATTTGATAATAATATCTTTATCATCGTATATATGTATATATCTGTACATATATATGTATTTTTTTTGGCCAAAATAATAAGACAAAAGTGCCATATAAATGAAGCACTTCCATCGACTTCTGTAGATCATGCTTTCTGCTGGAAGAATACAGATCTATAAATAGCCTGACGTACTGCAGCCCGCTAGAGATACAGCCCATATTCCCAGCCACTCGCTGCTTCACTGTGCGAATATTCATTGAACGTGTAATGACATAAGTCAAAAATATATAATGAACGTTTCATTTTACAGAGATTGCTTTCGATGCAGCTCTTGATATTAAAAAAAACACTACGGCATTGTAAACATAGTAGATAAGCACAGTGAGTATTCTAAGTATTGTTGACAAATGCATTGATTTCCTACTGTGTGTGTGGGTTCTGGTGTGACAGAGTTAACAAACAGGAAACAGCAGGAGGTGCAAACTCGGCATTACTCAATAGCCCTGGGATGATAAAAAACAAGATTACACCGTGGTAATGGGGTGATGGTTTTGCTCAGAGGCCCAATTTTTTTCAAATTTGGTCTCACAAGCCCATAAGGAGAGTAATTACGGACAGAAATGGGGGCTACGTTCCTTTTTCCCCCCTTCTTCCTGAGGCCGGGGCTCTTGAAACACCACCGTCAGTGCTTTTGCCAATACGACTGCGCATCCGACGCTGCGTGCACTTTACCCGATGATCATGACGCTTCTGTGGCCACGTGCCAAACTGAAACCAAATGGAACATTCAAGACGAGAGTGAAGGGGTTTGTATATTTTATAGGGGTACGGAGGTGGGGTTGGCTAGTGGCAAGTCTTCTGAGATTATTTACATTAATCAAACCAACGGACTGCACTGTTTTAAAAGAGAAGCTGACCTTACGGACGGCTATCACATCACACCCGGGGTGGATTTCAAGGAGTAACAAAAGGGTACCGGGGCTACGGCGAGGAAGCTATTTCAGACACCGATGGAAATTGCAAGTGTCTCACACGAATGTCGAAATATGTAACACCACTGCTTTTATGTACATTTCATGCGGGGACTATATTCAATGTTGAGGCTGATTCAAATGAAAGCAGAAAGTCTCGAGGCTGCAGAACATAACATATTAAATGTGCAACCCTCCCAGAATTGCGAGATGCCTAAGAACAAACACACGCAATGGTACATCTTGACCCGTAGTGTTGTCGGGTCGCACCGCGTGTTGATGGGCGCGACGTCCGACGTTTCGCTCCACATGCTGGCAGATGCTTAAGTAAGTAAATATTCAAAATCGGACATCGTGCTGTACGACACGTGGTCACAATCAGAAAACACATCGGAGAGTAATGCAGCACAGCTGTGACGAGCTACACGGTAGCAGGTGCGGTGCATTGTTGCAAAGCGTATAGAGCTCTCAAATACGCAGTCTTGGATTCAAAACGAGGCCTCAAGAGGCCAAGGCCAAGAGACGCAAGGCCAAAGCGAGGAACTTTGTGTGGATGGACACTAGTACCAAAGCCAGTCAATGCCGGGTCACCTTTGCTGGCTGATTAGCCACAGTGATAAAAGCTCACATTGCAGTATGAAAAGTGTGAAACACTCTGAAATAAAATTTATAACTTGCACCTAATTAACCTAGAGGAGAAAAAATATATATAGATTCTTGGGAAAACATATTTTTTTCCCCAAATAAAAATCAGCAATCGATCACTATTTAGACATTTTATGAATGTTATCGTTGTGACAAGTGACACGTGACCAGCTTGAAATCATGAGACTCAAGCCCTTGAAGTCCTTGAACCAAACCCATCGGCCGAAAGCTGAGAAGATGTCCTCGGGACTGGAAGTATGTGACAAGTAATTGATCAATAATCCTGCCAACGATATTAAGAGGATGCGTCTGTGGAGGATGTTAACCTACAGCGCAGAAAGCAGCTTCCCAAAAATCGCGCAAACACGAGCTGTCAATGCAATCATCGGTGATAATTAATGTTGATCGATTATTATCCAGCACGCGATTATTCGGTTTCCAACATTATCCAGTGGTTCGATTCGGCAAAGCCACTCCAAATGCTGCAAACAGTCTCGCGATCGGCACCATGTGCGTGACGAAAAAAGTAGCTGTGCTTGATTTCAGTGATAAATGTTTGATGCACAGGACATTATACACTACATACAACTTACAAAATGAAAGAACTGCACGCATACGGTATATATCACCCCATGCAGTCTTCGATATCTGAGTTGTAAGTACGGTACAGTAATTCATAATAAAGGTTTTTGGGTTAGATCGCGTTTATTTATAAATGTGTCGTAACCCTCCACCACCCGACACGGCCAATCAGCAAAAAAAGTGTCACGTTGACAAAAGACAAATAATTCACTACTTCAGCCCACCGGTGTGTTGAAGAGTTAATCCACATTTACAGTTTGAGTACGACGTTTCGCTGGTAAATACATCCAGCATCATCAAGCAATTCGCCAGAATGGTAAAGCCCTCGCTTGCTCCCGGTTTTTTATATAGAGCAGCAGGGTGACGTCATCACTTAACTCATATCAGGTGCATTGATTAGAGGCGGAGGGGGGGGGGTATTGTAATTATATAATCGATTAGTAATCAGTCATTGGTTATGATTAGTAATGAGTTGTAGATTAGTAATTCTTTAAATGTAATGTGTATTATTTAATAATACGCTTCCAGGCCGCACTAAGCCGGTAGCTGTCAGAGCGATTAACGTTATTCTTGTTCCTCTCAATTTCAATGGATTCTCTAATTAGTCTTTGCCAGTAATAATTCGTTTTACACACCACTGCAACATTGTCAAAATCAATTGAGTGTCCTTGTTGACAAGCATGTTCTGCCACTGCCGACAGTTGTGTTTGAGATACAGTACAGTAACTTTTTAAAGTAGGATATTTATTTTTTGTATGTTTATCTATGTCAATTGCATATAGTAAATACATTTAAAACTCTAAAAACGCCATATAACAACAATTAAAAACATAACGTAACGCAAGAATGTACAAAAATAAGCTAGTTTAAATAACGATGGTTACCGGTAGTGATTATCCGGCGATTTTTGAAAATCCGACGCTCCCTACCCCCCGAAGCCGCCGGATAATCGATGATCGGCTGTGTGTAGATCATCGATTATAATAGATAATCTACTGTGTATAGAACTTCTTTTGCACCGTACGGAGCCAACCCTTGCGACTATTACATGTCAAATGAATAATACCAGCACCTAATATCTGCAGACAGTGACGTTACACTCTGACCACATGTCAACGGATGCGCCCGTTCAAACGAATGTTTTAATTGAAAGCCCCGTCAACGTGCTAAAGCTTGGCGATGCTGTGGGCGATCATCTTAAAACAACCTCCCAGCACGAGTGCAAGCGCCGCTTAACTTTGCTTCTCCCGCTAGCTTCGCTGCTTCAAGATGTTACTTCAAGATACAGGATGCTTGTGAGGAGAATAAATATATATTTAAAGCTCATCGGATTCCTCCAGAATAAATAAATATTCCGATTGTGATGTTCAACAAGTTCCCTGAACACAACAAAATAAATAAATGGAGGGACACGAATAGGAAACCACAAAAACGTATACGTACTTTGGCAGTGCCTAATTTCAGCTGGAACATTCCGGAATGCTGCTCCAAGGAATTATTTTGACACGCCACATCCATCATGCCTCGGGTTGTCTGTAGTCTGTTCATGGGATTATAGGAATGTATGGTACAATTTTATCGGATAATGGATGGGCGTACCTTATACTATAGTGGTAGTGCCTTGCACCGATAATCCCCTACTACATGCCAGCCTAGCAACATTCTGTAGTATATCGTGTCAGAAAATGTAACCTTGTATTTAGGGCAATTATTTATGGTGGAAGGATTGTAATGATGAACTACTGTCAGGTCAGTATGGGGTACTTTTGGAAAATGTTTTATTGATAATGAAGAAAGTAGTCAATCAGTGTGCATTACCCTCCATGATTAACGGATGAGAAACACGTATGTTGACAAACAAAATTACGCAAAACGTTTAGAAGGAGTGCAAAAAAAATATGGACAGGTACATGCTTGGAAGTACAATAAAATACATAAAGAAACACATAGATTATAGATTTGAAGCTTTCGTGACTGCAATGATTCATACTCTTTGTTTTTTTCGGTAAAGTCACGTAGGTAAAATAAAATAAATGAAAACAACTCAATTAAATCACGACGTTTCGGAGGCAACACAAGCTTCCTTCTTCAGGTGAAAACAGTCACAGCAAAATTGCTGCATTAAAAAATTGTTTCACTTGATACAGCAATTTTGCTGTGACGGTTTCCACCTGAATACGGAAGCTTGTGTTGCCTCCGAAACGTCGTGATTTAATTTAGTTGAATATCAATTTAAAGCTTTCGTGACTGCAATGATTCATCTTCTTTGGTTCTTTCGGTAAAGTCACGTAGAATGAGAATAAAATAATAAATTGATAAAATATTATTGTGTTATTTTATTTTATCAATTTATTATTTTATTCTC